GATGAAAATTGTTCTCCCCGGAAATTATTGGGTTGGTGAATTGAAAATTGCCGGCTATTGTCATATGTCAGAGTTTGAGCGCTTTCTTCAAAAGAAACCCATTTTGGTGTCAATGGAAAACTTGTAGAGAATCAAAAATCAAGCTTATATCCTAATTTTCAGAACGATTCAAAAACTGGTTTTCAAGAAATGCCAAATTTAAGAAAGAAATGCCAAATCTTCACAAAACTTGCATTTTAAGCGAAACCGCTAAGTGTATCTTTTTGGAAATTTGGCTATAAGCCTAATTTTTGATTCTCTACAACTTTTCTATTGACACCAAAATGGGTTTCTTTTGAAGAAAGTGCTCAAACTGGAAGTCCTTCTCCAGTCTCCAGTCCTTGATTTTTGAGTCTCACACTTGTCTCACACACAAACCAAAATCCTACTACGAAAGAGGAATCCGCAAATTGCCTGTAAAATGGGCAGAAATCGTCAATAATAATGGAAATTATTTAGAATGAATTCATGGTTTTATGTTGAATAAATTTTAGTTCAAAGTCCCGCAGTTTTCAATTCACCAACCCAATAAATACAAATGACGTACAATAGAAGCTGATTAATACAATACAGTACAATATAATTTGAAAGTTGTTTAGTGCCACTTTTAAACGTAAATTTGCATGTATGATAATGCGGAATCTTATAACGGAAATGTGGAAATGAGAAATGGGCCTTCATAATGGGAAAGTACCCAGAAATCATACAAGATGAAATCAAAACGCATGGACATATGAAAGGAGTGTATCTGAAAGAATTGGAGAAAGATTCATCTTTCCTTTCTTTTCCTTTCCCTTCTTTCCCTTTCCCTTCCTTTCTTTCTCTTTCCTTTCCTCTCCTTTCTCCTTCTTTTTCCCCAATCTCGCCTCTCATTTCCCCTCAAAGGTGATTTGTCAGATCCACCCTCCATCATCGACATCATTTATTTTTGAGGAAAAACCTCTCTTCATCTAAAAGGAGCTCGAGAGAGTGGAAAATTAGATTCTTCCACATATTTGTAGACATTGGCTCACTTCTCAGTCATGTCAACTCACCAAAAATAAAGCTTTGATGAAGTGTGAAGTACTGATTTGGGGGAAATCTTTTGAAAGGAATGATTTAGAAGTTCAACAACGACAGTTCTCGCACAAAATAAAGACTTTCCTGCAATAGGCACAGAGATTTCAAAAGAAGAGCTTAATGATTCAGAAAGATTAAAGCTTTAAGCTTTAATAGAAGAGCCTAATGATCAAGTAAATAACAAAGAACTCGGGCTTAAGGTATGGAATCTCAAAAAGTGAGTCACTGCTTCACTTCTCACTTTCAATACTTAATTCTAGTAGCATAATGACACTTGAAAAAGCATGAATGCTTTAGGATGCTTCAGAATACTTTAGAATGCCGTAGAATGCTTCAGAATGCTTTAGAAAGCTTCAGAGTGCTTCAGAATACTTTAGAATGCTTTAGAATGCTTCAGAATGCTTCAGAATGCTTTAGAATGCTTCAGAATCCTTCAGAATGCTTTAGAATGCTTCAGAAAGCTTCAGAATGTTTTGAAGTCATGTGACACTTGAAGAAATAGTCTTTTCAAAGGGTACTTTAGAATTTGAGCAAATGCAGTTGTTATTTGTAAAATTTTATAGAATCTAGACTCGAATAATCTGGAAAAAAGTTGATTGCTAAATGTTTTAAAGACTAGAATATATAGATTCCTCGATATCTAGTCAATTAAGCTCTCAAAATGGACGTGAAATGTTTTCGCCTCGTAAAAAAACATAGGTGACCCTTTAGTGGATTCGAGGGTGAAGGGAAAATGCAAATGAGAGGCTGCAAGGTGAAAGGATGGGTTGAAAGATTGAAGGAAAGGAGTGGAAGTGGCCATCATCGAATGAGAAAAAAAAGACGAGTGACACTGCCTCCACCTGTTATGCAATATTCAAGAGGTTCAAAGGTGAAAAGGGGACGGAGCGTTTAAGGGCAAATAGAACATGCATGCTTAAATAGAACCGGTCAATGAGCGTTTCAAAAGCGAGAATGAAACGAAATTGGGTTAGAGAATGGCTTTCTTGTGTCAGAAATGGCTTTCTTTTGTCAGAAATGGCTTTCTTTTGTCAGAAATGGCTTTCTTTTGTCAGAAATGGCTTTCTTGTGTCAGAAATGGCTTTCTGGGCTCTATGCCAGAGAGGGGACCCTTAAAATAATCAGGGTTTTTTCAAAAAAAACCCAGCCCTGTAGCCGAAGTATTGTATCTGAATCTATCAGCTAGTCAAAGCCTGGTTTTTTTTAATTTGCTTAACCTTGGCTTTGTAAAATTGGCTCTAACAATAAGAACAATCCTTATTCCAACGATTGATCAATCCAGATTCAAGGAGCGGAGGATGTGGAGGTAGCTGTGAGCTTTGATAGCTCTGGGCTTTGATAGCTCTGGGCTTTGATAGCTCTGGGCTTTGATAGCTGTGAAGCTGTGAAGCTATCAAAGCCTCAATACGCCATCTTCATTGCATTCTCAAATTTACCGGGGTGGAATCCCATTGATTGAACGCATTTTTATCGTAACAATTCATTGTAAACATTCAGCATAAGCGTAAGCTCAGCGTAAGCGTAAGCTTCTTTTCTAATCCCATTAGTGCAAAGCCTTTTTAGAGCAAGGTCTTTTAGAGGTCCAAAAGCAAAGAGTATCCGAATTTTTTTCTATGAAAGATCAATTCAAAAACCTTCGAGTACCAAATATTGTACTACAAAATGTTGCAAAGCCACCCGCCCCTCCCCCCCAAAATTGAAATTCCAGACCAAAATTTTGTAGTCAAAGTATTATATTCGAATATTGTATTCAAATCATGTATCCAGCTCTAAAAGAAAAGAAAATAAATGATCCTTTTTTGGATGAAAGAAATGAAAATGACAACGAAAAATGAGGGATCATGTATTTCCGCGCAACGACTCGCCATTTTAATGGATTTTCGGGAAGGGGAACCAAACGGGGATCCCCCTGCCCCCAAAAAAGGGATACCTCATTTATTTGTCTTTAGCTTGGCATGCTCTTTCTTTTTGCTTTTCTGTGCTTTAAATATAATAGAATTGAGGGTGGATTAGATCATGATGAGCATCAAATCATTTAGGGTGTTTGCTTGGGTTTCTTTGGAAAAACATCAAGATTTATGACTGTTCTTCAGGTTGTGTAGCTCACGTGGCAATGCCTACAAAGTGACAATGCCAAAAAGTTGCTCTCAGAGACCCAGAAAAGACAGCATATGTGTTTCTTTGCAGTTACAGATCTCAATTACAGGTCCAACTAAAAAACTAGGTTTTAGACAATGATACAGTTCTCAAGATCGGCGAGAGCAATCAGCTGTACCCCTTCCAAGTGGAAAAGCTGGCTTCAGACAAAGCTGGCTCCAGACAAAGCTGACTTCAGACAAAACTGACTCCAGACAAAGCTGACTTCAGACAAAACTGACTCCAGACAAAGCTGTCTCCAGACAAAGCTGACTCCAGACAAAGCTTCTCTATTCAAATCATCTTCTGCTCTTCACTCAATCCTCAGTGACTTAATTCTCTATAGTGAAGTTTAATCAAATTATTCTATTCAATATTCTTAACCCATAGAAACCGGCTAGTACTTAAATATAATCTGTTACATACGCAATTAAGAATATTAAGAAATAAAATTAGATTATTAAGAATAATCTAATTGAAAATCCAAAAGAATTCAAATGAAAATCCAAATCCAAAAGTACCAAGTACCTAGTTCAAAAGATCGAGTTTTGAATTTTAATAAAAGCATATTCAGGTAGACGTATTCCCATATTTCCATTGAGTGATGGGGTTGAACAAGTTGAAGCTCTCCAAGACATTTATCTATTCGAATTGACCACATAATCTGCTCATGACAATACAGAATGGCCCACAATTATAGCGTCGCACTTCAGGGGGCCTAGATTTGCCAAAATTGAATGAATCGTTCTGGTTTTTCTGGAGGTAAATCTTAAGTATGTCTCCTGGAACGGTGATTATTATCTAATCGATTCAAGCTTTCAACTTTTTTTATATGTCCTTCCAAAGTTGAGAGTCGAGTTTCGCTTATTTATAGGATTTTTGAGAGCAATCATGTCAAAATCTCGTTGAGATTGAATTTATTTTGTTAATGAGCGAAATTTCACACGCTCTACGCTTTCACACGCTGAGAAATTTCACCAAAACTCACTTAATATTGTCTGTTTTCACTTGGCGCATTCAGAGAAGCCGCTAAAGAACAAGAAAATCATTTTTTCAAGATCTCTAGCTTTTACATTTTATAGGTAATGATTATTAATTGAAAATCATTTAAATCTTAAAGACTTTTTGCCAAGAAAACTTTCAAAATCCCATAAATGAGTATAAACGAGCGAAACTCGACTCTCAACTTTGGAAGAACATATAAAAAAGTTGAAAGCTTGAATCGATTAGATAATAAGCACCGTTCCAGGAGACATACTTAAGATTTACCTCCAGAAAAACCAGAACGATTCATTCAATTTTGGCAAATCTAGGCCCGCTGAAGTGCGGCGCTTTAATTGTGGGCCATCCTGTATTGTCATGAGCAGATTATGTGGTCAATGCGAATAGATAAATGTCTATTCGAATGTCTATTCGTGGAGAGCTTCAACTTGTTCAACCCCATCACTCAATGGGAAATACGTCTACCTTTACGTCTACCATCACTCAATGGGAATACGTCGTCTGCTTTTATTAAAATTCAAAACTCGATCTTTTGAACTAGATACTTTTGTACTTTTGGATTTGGATTTTCAATTAGATTGTTGTTAATACATCTGCGCATGGAACAGATTATATGTAAGTACTAACAGGTTTCTGAAATTGGATGAATCTCTGAAAGAACCTGCTCTATTTTATTGACATTTGTTGCATCATTCAAGTAAAGAAATTTATTTATTTATTTCTTTATTAGCAACATAAAGTCAAAGCTTAAAGTTGCAAATTCAAATCATATTGTGAATATTTGATGGTTGATCATCATCAGCCGGAGAATCATTCTCAGAATCGGTGTTCTCTGCATAAAGTAATCGCTCAAAGTCCTCGAGTTCGTTCGAATCAGTTCGACTCGCTCTCAATCGATTTCTGAAAAAGTAGATGAAATGAAAAGATAGATAAAATGATGAATTTTACTATATTTTACTATATAGACAAGGCACTTACCCATAGTCGACATTAAAGTATTTTCGATATTGACTGTTTGGCCAAAAGATATGCAAAAGACAGAGAATGGCGCCGAAGTTCGCAAGAGTTGTGATTCCTGTAAAATAAGTGCTAAATAACTTAACGTTTAACTTAAATGTTTAGTGATAACTTTCATTTACCCAAAATAATTCGAAATCTCCATAAAAGAGTGATGAAATGAGCGATGCAACCGAGTCCCGGCAAATAAGCAAACCAAACGAGGAAACCGGCTCCGAAATGCGCAAGAAAAGTCGCTTTCTCATGGTGTTTTTCCCTGGAATTTTTGAATTGATAAGCTTCCTAAGAAATTCAATTATGATATTTGCACTATGAAGCTTGAAATTACACTAGAAGTACAATAGAAGTTCAAATCGGTAGTTAAAGCTAGCATAGTTCAACTAGACTCATTTTGAACTCTTCTTTGTACTTGAAGTTAACAATTCCCAGCCAACACTCACCGTTTTATCAAAACCCGTATTTCAAGGAGAAACCATATAGCGAAAATGATACGAATAGCGAGCATACCGTGGCCCGGCCAGCTAGAGAAAACATCTACATCATGGAGAATATCGTATACAAAAATCTGAAGAATTTCAATTCGTTAAATCTCTAAACGACTTACAAAGTTACAACAGAAGAAGATAAATTTAACGATGGAAAGAAATGCCCATCCGACAATTAAACACTTTGAAGGTTTTAAGGAAGGACCGGAAAATGCCCATCCTCTTCCCAAAAGCAATAACATTAAACAAAGTACATCAGTGGCGATCATCCTGAAATTTTTGATCCGTAGATTGGTGAGTAAGACATAAAGCCCTTTCTGGCGAATGGAACACGTGTCAGTGTAGCTTCTTTGGTAAAGCGTTCGCCTGGTAAGCGAGTTCTAAGCGAGTCGCAGGTTCGAATCCTGGCGCCGACCATGTTCTTAGTCCCAACCCATAAAAAGATTGAAACTGGTGAATTAAAAGTGTTTTATTCAGCTTATAGTTGCAGAGTTACAAATAGAATATCAGTTAGTAGTCTGTTTTGAACCTAAAAAGCACAAAGTACATAGTACCAACCTGTTAAAGTTAAAACTATAATATAACAACAAGAATAACTAGTACTACTGCATTTAAAATTTTTACAACCAACGTTTTCTATCAAATGTACTTGCTTTTATAATCCAAACACAACCTTTCAGACGGACATCAGTACGCTAGAAAGTGTGCGTTTATGAGTAAAGCACGAAATAGATTAGAGCAGAGTACAACGTACCTCAAAACCTCGCCCGCAAGCCTTGCCACGAGAAACCCTTCTCCATCAGCTGCGAATTGTAACATATTTAACGATTGTAGAGCCACACCAGCTGTTTTCAGATAGACAATCCATGAAAGAAGTTTCAAGCGAGTTGGCGACTAAAAATCCAAGTCTAATAATAAAAACAAAAACGACTTGTCTTTCTTTAAAACTTTGCAACTTAAGTGCAAACAAGGGTTGATATATCTGAAATCGATCAAAATCAAAACTTTCCCTTACATAATGCTTTCGTTGAATCGAGCGACCATGATAAATAATCGCACATAGAATCAAATAGGCAATCAACGTGGCTAGATACATTTGAGTAGCGTCCTGAAAAAGAGAATTAAAAATTGCGATCGATACAAACTTGTTCGTCGAAGCTGAACTGAAGCCCGAAAGGATTTTTCGATAAATCCTGGGGATCACCATTTGTTAGCCAAAAATCGTAGTTGAGCGTGGATTTGGAATTTGATTGAACCCAGGAACAGTTTCCATTCAAATGACAACCGATGAGCACAAGAAACCTGCAATAAAGGCTTTAATTATAACAAATTTGATATTAATTTGATGGGACTATATAGAACTTTGTAAATTTTCAAATAACTAGAGAGCAATGTGCCTTAAAATGTACTTGAATCTCTGATTATTTAAATCCTCTAAAAACTCACCAATATTCGGGCATTTGAGGCTCAACAATTTGCATTGTCATTTGATAACCGGGGATCAGTGTGGTTGAGTTGTCTGGGTCTTCTTCTAAATTTAATCAAAAATTAAAGATAAAGAAATCAGTAACTATGGCTAGGACTTCTGAGTCTATTTATAGACTATAGATTTAGCCAACCTTCGCAAATTTTCCCAGCCGGACAAGGAACCCATCGAAAAATGTCGGCAGTTCCTTTGGGTTTGCATCGAGACTCGAAACCGTTTGAGGCAATCTCCTAATTTTTTTGTTAAAGAATTGAAATTGAAGTTACCTGCATAATTGAGCTGCACGATTTCCCATAATTTGAATCCTCGGAATGCAGGAGGCCGATATTCGCTTGAGAGATGATGACGAAGAGGAGAGGATCTAAAAAAGTGTCACTGTTATTTACAACTGATCCATGTTTTGGTGCAACTATCACAAGGCTTTGTGCATTCATTTTGGACTCAACTAACCATCTCCAGGCCGCTGCACTCCTGTGATATTTCCATAAATGAATCCTCTAGAAGTACGTGGATGGCGATTATCGGTTTGTTGAAAGCCGAACTTTGTGATCACCTGAACGTTGAAGATATTATTGATCAAATAGCAATGGAAGCTGGGCAACTATCACAAGGATTGTTTTACAAAACAAATTTACAACAATGTTATGAATTTGAAATCTTTTTTGCTTAAACTCAAAGCTCAAAGGTTTTTTGCTTAAACCACAAATCAGTTTTTCAAACTGTTCTTAGGTTTTACGTTAAGTCAAGTCAGTTTTGCCAAATTTGTCATCTCAAATTGTATTGCGGAACGCTGTGACGACGAGTCACCAAGAATCTGCTGCAGTCTAATAAGACACCAGAAATATCGTATCCTAAACAATATCGCGTATAAAAGGACGCCTTCTTCTCCATTTAGTCAAAATTTTCTCTCATTTTTTCGGTGAAGGTTGGTTTCTTTTGTTCGAGATACTTTCACAACTTCCACAAGTGATTCCTTTTTGTCTCTGGGTCAATACATTGATTTTTTGAGCTTCATTGAAACATTTTCACACACCTTGCCTTTGTGTATTGAATAAACTTGGATTTGTTATTTATTCAAGCAAAAGTGCATAGGTCTACAGGGTGCGTCATAATATAATCCATAATGAGGCGCATCCACAACAACTTCTTCAACGGTTCTTGGGCCAACAACACCGTTCCGTTGTGTTCAGTGATGAGAAGTTGTTCACTGTCAAGCAAGTGCTTAACAAGCAAAATGGTCGTATTTACGCTGTTTCTAATCGACAAAAGATGGTAAAACATGCCCTTTACCCAGTATCACTTATGGTTTGGCGCAATCACATCGGATGGAAACTCGCCGCTCGTTTTTGCGCCTTCTGGCATGAAAATCAATGGAAACGCGTATTTGGATATTCTGAACACAAAATCGCTTCGATGGGCACAATCTCACTTCAAAAGACGCCATTTGACATATCAACAAGATGAAGCTCCGGCTCACAAGGCTCGTTTTGTCTAGGATTGGTGCCGGGTAAACATTCCCGACCCTATCGCCTTTGATGAGTGGTCCCCGAGTTCACCGGATTTAAATCCGCTCGATTTTTCTGTTTGGTCGGTGCTTGAAGCAAAAGCTTGTCAAAAACCACAGAAAAACGTCGATTCTTTGAAGAAAGCGCTGATTAAGGCATGAGATGAGCTCGATGTGCCCTACTGCCACGACTCGACGCTTGCCACAAAGCTGACGGAAATATTTTTGAATTTTATTTGTTTTTATTATTGATATGGGTCATATAAATGTTATTTTCATAAAAATTTGAATGTGGAAGTAAAAGGAAATTTTTTCCAAGTTTTTCCGATTATGAGTAATTATGACGAACCCGGTAGTCACCGTCTAGTGAATTCAAGGGAAAGCAGACTAGTAATTAATAGTAACAGTGATACAGAACACACGCTAAGTAATAGCAATACAAAACAAATTAGTTATGGTAAACCCGATTTACCTGAATATTTTGCTCTCCCGGTTTCCATATTCCTTTTACATGAACGGTGAGCGTCGACGAGAATTGCAACGATAGACAAACTACAAAAAGCCATTTTACACCATCACATCTTTTAGCGTATTTTGGCATAGCCACATTCTGAAAATTTACATAATATATATAATTTAAAGAAACGAGCTAAACAAAAACAATAACTATTGGGTTGTCCAGTTATAAATGCGCGTTTTTACCATTTTGTAAATTTCTCAAGATATCGAACAGATGTATATGAGTGTTATATATCATTCGAAAGCTGAAGATCTCCTCTACATCTTGGAATAAGAAAGTTTTTTGCATTCATTCAACTTTTTGGGAAATTGACTGCACAAATGGAGAGGTCGTTCTCGAAAAAACCCATTCCAGCTTAGCTATTCCTCAAGTTTTATGCTGTAAAATAACCGCCCAGAAAAGAAAAGTAAAGATGCTCCGAAATTGTTATATTTAAACAAAACTTGTATTGATATATCTATTGGCCAAATATCAAACGGTTAACTCAATTTGAGTGGAGCCAAAACTTGATCCAAAGGCGCCCTTCCATTTTTTGGCCACCTCTTCTTCTGTGCAGTCAATTTGCCCAAAAGCTGAACAAATTCAAAAAACGTTTTATATCAAAATGTAAAGAAGATCTTCAGCTTTCGAATAATACTCATATATATCTTTTTCTTGATTTCGGTATCTTGAGAAATTTACAAAATAGTAAAAAACGCGCATTCATAACTGGACAACCCAATATAAACATAAAAAGAACAACTGTAATCATCAATCAATAAATCAATAACCAAAAAGCTATTAGTAAACGAGGCAGCTGTTCAATTAACAATTTTAATTCAAATAAGAGTTCTTCTTGTTTTAAATTGATTGATAATTTCAAAAACATAAGTTTAATCTAGATAAAGAATATCTTAAATGATTTAAATCTCTCAAAAAGAATATCTAAAACTTAAAAAGAACAAATTAAATATCTCAAAATATCTTTTAATATTAAAAATGAAAAAAATTATCTGAGTGATTTGGATTTGCTTTTTTTAGTGGTCGAAAAAACAGCTTAAGTCCCTTTCCGACTACCGTAACCAAGTGGGGCGCGGAATAAAACGAACATTTTTGAAATCAAAGAATCAGACCATTAAATTTCCAACTGATTTCAGGGAATTTATTCACAAATTCTTGCAATTTTCTTACCATTTCTTTTTTAGGAATGAAATCAATCGTTAATGGACCGATTCCGGACGATTTCATGCGAGATGTCTCTAATCGATTGAACACTCTTTTATTTGATAAGGTAGAACATAAAATTAAAGCAAAATCAAGACAAGAATAAGATAAAATTAACAAAATTAAGATAAAATTAACAAAATAAGACAAAATAGGACAAAATAAAGTCAAAATAAGACAAAATTAAGGCAAAATCAAGACAAGAATAAGATAAAATCAACAAAATTAAGAGAAAATTAACAAAATAAGACAAAATAGGACAACATAAAGTCAAAATAAGACAAAATTAAGGCAAAATCAAGACAAGAATAAGATAAAATTAACAAAATTAAGAGAAAATTAACAAAATTAAGGCAAAATCAAGACAAGAATAAGATAAAATTAACAAAATTAAGAGAAAATCAAGAAAATTAAGACAAAATAAGAAAAAATCAACAAAATTAAGAGAAAATCAACAAAATTAAGAGAAAATAGGACAAAATAAAGTAGAAATTAACAAAATTAAGAGAAAATTAAGCTTAACACACTATTAGATTAAAAGAATCAATAAAATTTTAATGATATTCAGGAAAAACGAGAGCTCACTGTGTTGGATCAACTATTGCTTCCACTAGAGAAAAAGTATATTCCGGTGAGAAATGTTGACGAAGCCTGTGCAGTGATCAAATCGATGCAGGTAACAAATTTGTTTGGCATTACCAAAACGGAGAAAGAGTTGGCTTGACACGATCTTGACAGGCTGGCTTGACACGATCTTGACAGCTGGCACGATCTTGACAAGCGGCGCACGATTGACACGGCTTGACACGATCTTGACAAGCTGGCTTGACACGATCTTGACAGGCTGGCTTGACACGATCTTGACAAGCTGGCTTGATCCATTTAATCATGTTAAACTGGCAAGAAAATTCGTGGAAAGTTTGCACGATGATTCCTCAAAAACCAAGCCATCAATTCTTCCCAATTTTTTTTGGTAGATCTAACTATATTTCAAAAAGTCTTTAGCACAAAATCAGTGTTGGTTCTAGGTAAAAATAAGAGATTCTCTTCAGCTGACTTTCAGCTGACTTGGTCACTTTTTTGAGTGACAAGTTTAGACAAGTTTAGATAAGTTTAGACAAGTTTAGACAAGTTTAGACAAGTTTAGGCAAGTTTAGATAAGTTTAGACTTTAGACAAGTTTTTAATGGACTAATGGATAAGTAATGGTCATTTAAAAACCCTAAAATCAACTACTTAAAACAGAGAAAATTTGCGATTAAGGCATAGTCTTTGGTTGAGCTTTTTTCTTCAGTTCAATTTCTTTCAACCTAAGCCACTAAAAGCAAAAGTTTAAACGAGATTTCTTCGACTGAAACTGACTCAAAAGCTAATAAAAATTCATGCCCTGCAAGTAGGATAAGAAATTTAAACAATTTAAACAATTTAAAGCTATTTGACCATAAACTTTTCTCTTTTCTAGGTCAGGGGCGCTCCATTGATAGCGGCTGTGGCGATTCTCGGACTCTATTTGGAAATCAATCAGAAAACACTGAAAGATTCTGCAGAATTTTTACACTTTCTTGGTGAAAAGGTTTATATTAAACAATATCTAAACAAATTTCGAAAACACAACGAAACTAAAAACACATTTCGACTTGTTTATCCTTTTCTCTTTTAGTCCCAACAGCTGATCGACACTCGGCCAACGGCTATCAATCTGCGAAATGCTCTAAATGATCTCAAAGCCTGTGTTCTAGTTTCTAGCGTTGAAACAGTACAAGGAAAACTAGCAAGGTGAATAAAGGAAGGTTCATTAAATGCTAAAACTTTAGCTTAAACGAAAAGATTTTGGAGATATATGATGGAGAACAAGAGGAGAATCGGAGACTCGTTTGGAATGGATACCAAGAGGTAAATCTTGAAGAATACTTTCTTTATTATTTATTTATCTATTTATTTATCTATTTATTTATCTATTTAGTTATCTATTTATTATATTTATTCCGTATTTATTCCAATTAAAGAGTCCTCTCTATGAGGAAAGCTCTCTCCAATAGAAGGCTTCAAAAATTGGAGTAGAGAGGTTCAAGGGTTCAAAAATTGGAGTAGAAAATGTTAAAAATTGAACCAATTTGATCATGTTTGATGAATGATTTCAGGTAATTTCAAATTGCTCTCATGGCAAAGAGAAACTCACTCTGTTGACCATTTGCAACACGGGAAGTCTGGCAACTTGCTCATGGGGTACTGCATTAGGTGAGAAAAGGCAGAAAACAAACATAACTTAAACCATATGGTTTTTCATTTCAAACTTACTTTTAAAACCTACTTTCTTTCTACTTTCTTTCTACTTTCTTTCTACTTTCTTTCTAAGCAGCAAAGAAACTTGAAATCTTTGCAATTTGATTGATTTCAGGCGTGATTGTTGCTTTACATCAGGCCGGTCGAGTGGAAAACGTTTACGCACTTGAAACAAGACCATACAATCAAGTAAAACGAATTTAAATATCTTTTAAATGTTTGTAAATATTTGTAAATGTTTGTAACATCAATAAAAGCATCAATAAAAGCCAGATTAGAGACTAAATTTCTTTTAAATGTTCGGAGTGGGGTAAATGCGAGCTTTTTTTTGGGCATTTCACCATCAGCGCACCTTTTTTTCGCTTTAAAAAAGCTAATATTAAACAATTTCTCTTGCAAAAGTTGCTTTTATAGGTCATTTTAGGGCATAGAATCCAAATTTTAACATATCAAAGATTGTGGAAGCAAAATAACGACGTTATACCTAGAGAAGTATCGACAATTTGATTTTGTTTTGATTTGAGAATTTGATTTACCCGTTTTCTCTTTCAAATTGGTTTCACAAGCTCTGATAGGTTAAAATTTGGATTCTATGTCCTAAGATTACCTAGAAAAGCAACTTTTGGAAAAGAAATTGATTAGTATTAGCTTTTTAGAGTTTTCTAAAGGTTTTTAGAGCTTTCTAAAGGTTTTTAGAGCTTTCTAAAGCTTTTCAGAGCTTTCTAAACACAAAAAGGCTGTGCTAATGGCCGAAAAAAGCTCGAATTCCTCTATTCCCTGTTTGTAATGTTTGTAATGTTTGTAAAACCAATAAAAGCCAGATTTGAGACTAAATATCTTTTAAATATTTGTGAAATCAATAAAAGCTTTGGAGTACTACCAAAATTAAGATTTTATTGAGATTTCAGGGTGCTCGCTTGACCACCACCGAATTGAAACACAATGGAGTCCCATTTATGTTGATCACTGACTCGATGGCGGCTTGGACAATGAAAACTACAAAGATTGATGCGATATTAGTAGGTAAAGTGATTTAATTCGTTTATGAAGTAGTTTATGATGTAGTTTATGAAGTGGTTTATGATATAGTTTATGATATAGTTTATGAAGTAGTTTATGAAGTGGTTTATGATATAGTTTATGATATAGTTTATGAAGTAGTTTATGATATAGTTTATAGTTATGATATAGTTTATGAAGTAGTTTATGATATAGTTTATAGTTATGATATAGTTTATGAAGTAGTTTATGATATAGTTTATAGTTATGATATAGTTTATGAAATAGTTTATGATATAGTTTATGATATAGTTTATGAAGCAGTTTATGAAGTAGTTGATGATATAGTTTATGAAGTAGTTTATGAAATAGTTTATAGTTATGATACAGTTTATGATATGATATAGTATATTTATCCCTAAAATCAGGTGCTGATCAAGTTGCTTTGAATGGAGACACAGCGAACAAGATTGGCACTTATATGTTAGCTGTTTTGGCGAATCATCATAAGGTTGTCGACTTTTTAAATTATTATATTACTGCGATGCGATTTACATAGTTAAGAGGTACTTTCTTAATGTAATAACCGAATCGGCATTGGTAAAAGTGCTCTAACCGGGCTGTAAGCCATCCCAATTAGGTCTAGGCCTCTGGAAGGGATTAGCTTCTGGTCTGGCTTTGAAACAGCTCTTACCAGGATGCCTGGATCGACTTTCTATGACCAAGACGATCAAAATCTTTCCAGGTTCCATTCTATCCGGTTGTTCCATACACAACCGTGAATCGATCTCGTGAAAATGGTGATTCAATACCGATTGAAGAGCGTCCACCAAAAGAGATGCTTCAAGCAAACGGTGAGGTCAAACATTTTATGATTTACTTGACTTTCTACTACTCTCTTGTACAATTCAACCTTTTCTACTTGCTTTAATCCTAAAACTATGGCTTGTCTGCATAGTTGGACAAGTCCATTTATGAGTTGTAGCTGGGAATACAAAAGATGATCAGCGCCGCGATTCTTTTGAAGATTGAAGCCGTGATCTCTCGCTTACCGGGCGAACGCTTTGTCAAAGAGCTACAGGGCTACAGGAGGAAATAGACGGACCGCCAGCTTGTGACAGGACGGACCAGACAGGACCGACCGCCTAGCTTGTGTTAACTTGGCTTGCAGCATTTTTGAAGTATTTCTTCTGATCAGCATTTCTTCAGAAAAACATTTTGGATCAGCTAAAGCATCTAAACTAGCAAAGTTTGACTTATTACAGCAGTTGGTCCTTTTATGGGTTGTAGCTGGGAATACAAAAGATGATCAGCGCCGATCAGCGATCTCTCGATCAGCGATCAGCGCCGATTCGAAGCACCGATCTCTCGCTTACCGGGCGAACGCTCTGTCAATGAGCTGCACCGACACTTGTCCCATTGACACCAGGGAAGGGTTTTTTGCCTTATGACATTTCATATCCTTGATCCTTGATATCCATTTCATATCCTTGCCCATCCTTGATAAAGTAATGCAAGTGTGTTAACAAAAGGGGTAATTAAAAGTAGTCATTCTATTCATTCATTTCAATTCATTCAATCATTCAATCCAATCTTTAGGTGTCTTTGTGATTCCCGAAGACACTCCTGTGTGGAATCCGGCTTTTGATGTAACACCGGCTGAACTTATCACAAAAGTAGAAGGCTTTTCTTTTATTTTCTTTTCTAAAACAATCATTTGATGATCATTTCAGATCATCACCGATTTCGGCAACTATCCTCCAAAAGAATTGAAAAAGGCTGTAGAAGAATTTAGCCAAGTTTAGGGTTTTCTTATTGTTACTATTCTTTTGTTTCTTATTTTTCTTTTGAGTTTATCAGTTTTTCTTTTGTTTCTCATTGTTACTATTCTTTTACAATTAGAAATAGCTCATTCCAAAGGTTCGAGGCTGTGAATAAACTAGTTTTTATCTAAAAGAAAACTCACAAACAATATTTACAAGTTGTTAGCGGAAAAGTTTATCAGTTTTTCCTTTGATATTGACCTACAAAATAAGAGATTATCTTTTTTCATTAGATTCTTTTTTTCATTAGATTCTTTTGATTAAAAGTCGCTGATCAAATCGATTAACAAATCCAAGATGCTTAAAATTGAAAACACATCCTTCCTGGTACACTCAGCTCTTCATTTAATGCTGGAATGCTGGAATGCTAGAATGCTAGAATGCTAGAATGCTGGAATGCTGGAATGCTGGAATGCTAGAATGCTGGAATGCTAGAATGCTAGAATGCTAGAATGCTAGAATGCTAGAATGCTAGAATGCTAGAATGCTAGAATGCTAGAATGCTAGAATGCTGGAATGCTAGAATGCTGGAATGCTGGATTGCTGGAATGCTAGAATGCTAGAATGCTAGAATGCTAGAATGCTAGAATGCTAGAATGCTAGAATGCTGGAATGCTGGATTGCTGGAATGTTGGAATGATGGAATGCTAGAATGCTGGAATGCTAGAATGCTAGAATGCTAGAATGCTGGAATGCTAGAATGCTAGAATGCTAGAATGCTAGAATGCTAGAATGCTAGAATGCTAGAATGCTAGAATGCTAGAATGCTAGAATGCTAGAATGCTAGAATGCTGGAATGCTAGAATGCTGGAATGCTGGAATGCTGGAATGCTAGAATGCTAGAATGCTAGAATGCTGGAATGCTGGAATGCTGGAATGCTGAAATGCTGAAATGCTGGAATAAATATTACAAATAAATATTCTTTTATGAAATATACTGGAATACACATCTTCTGGAGTGTTTTTTAATATAGATTTAGAATAAAAACACCTAGGAACTCAATTTTGCTTCCGCGGTCCTGAAATGGGCACTCTTCCGTATATTTGTCTGAAAGTGACGCCGGGAAAAACCTCAGAACTCATCGCAAACAAAATCCAGAGAAATGGCAAGGGTATCGTTAGAAAGGGTAAAACCAGGGCTACAACTTTGTAATACATCGTTTGGCCCGTTCTTTTGGAGTGAATATAAGAAAAATTGAAAAAATTGTCCGAATTCGAATTTTTGATTTTAAGTCAAAAGTGTTTTACCATAGTAGCGGATTCGATGTGCCCCAATAGCTACTTTGAACAGTTTTCCCGGAGAAGAGTTGATCAAATCGTGATTCTTGCTGTTCTGTGTGGGTAGTTGATGTAAGAATTTTCCCTGAAATACTTTTTGATCTCTGAAAGTCTCTCTGAAAACCCTTCACAATTTCCGCTTCATTGACGCAAATTTCTTTGACACGATCACAGCTTCTCGACAAACAAAAACCCCGCCAATTTGCACTCTTTTCTCTTCCTTTAGCCATGTGCCGCTTCGTGTGTGAAAGTATTCCCCAAAAAGAGAGGGAAAAGAAAGGAAAAAGAAAGGACAAAAAAAATGATAAGACTCACAGACTATTGTTTATCTTTTTAAAACCTATTTTGATACTTTAAAAAGCTTTTCTTTGAGCTTAAACAATTATTGAGAAATGATCGACGATATTATCGTTTCGCAAATGGCAATCGTCATTTTATTGATTGCTAGATATTTCGTCATGCAAATTCCATTTACGGAGCTGGTAAATTTCACATTTTTCTATTGAATTCATAAGCTTATGATGTAAATTTTAAAGCTTACAATGCTTTAAAGCTTACAGCTTACAGCTACAGCTTACAGCTTACAATGCTTTAAAGCTTACAATGCTTTAAAGCTTACAGCTTACAGCTTTAAAGCTTACAGCTTTAAAGCTTACAGCTTACAGCTTACAATGCTTTAAAGCTTACAATGCTTTTTATTAACTTTAAAGCTCGCAAATAGCTTTTAACGTCAGTTACATGGATCAAGCACACTTCCATAGTCAGCCAAAACTTTCTTTCTGTCTCATACTATTCTTGAATTTCTTGCAACACTTAAAACACTTAAATTTCTTGCAACACCTATTGCTTTTCTTGCAACACTTAAAACATTGCCACGAGGCAATTCGAGCAGTGTGCTGTAATAAAATACGTTTACATATTTAAGTACAAAGTTCAAATTTGACAAAGAACTTTCTTCTAAGGAGACTTTCCAAGGAGACTTTCCAAGGAGGTGTGAGACTTTTAAAGAGATGCAAACGCCTATCGGACGTGACGAATCCGATGCTGTGTTTATTTTTTGCTTACAGGCCTTGACTTCCGAGAAAAGCGCATGCAAAGTGTTGGCCATTTTCGGCAAACATTTTCAGCTATAAGAAGGCATCACGCCGAAAGGAAGCAATACAGCGGCGGTCTAGGGGATAGTGTGCTAGACTATCAACCTAGCACAACCTCTGCTCCTCTCGCCGCCCTACTTTTTCCTTTTTTTGTAAAACTTCCGCAAAACATTTTTTGAAGTTCTTAAAGTGTTTGTTTTCTTAAAGAATTTTTGAGTGGACCAGCTTCTGTCGTTTTGACTGTTATGCGCCTCTTCGACGTCAAACCACTTCTCATCCGTAAGGAGAATCTGATGGTTTGCAGCAAAACGTCTTTTTAGTTGTTTACATCAGTCCAAACGTTTCTTTTTCATTCCATCGCTCAAAAAATGACCTTTTATTTGTTTTATTGCCTTGAATCCAGCTTTTTTTGAGAATTCGTCGAACTGAAGTTGCTCCGATGCCAATAGCGGTGGTGATTTTCCGAGTCGAGTTCTTTGTGGTGGTTGCATTTCACTTGAGTCTTGTGAAGGTCTTTTGGCGTTGGCGTCTATCGACTATCAAAGTGTTGGCTGTAGATGGGCGTCTCCATCCTTTGCGATCTTTATTCGTTTCCGTTTCGTTGAAGCGTTTTATAGCTCTAAAAACATTCTCCTTCTCTTGCAAAAGTTGCGAAACTTCAACAATTCGTTTTCCTTGCTGATGCAGACGAATGATAGTCGGGCGCAGATCTTTTTTTGGATTTCATACCTAAAAGATAGTTGTAGAATTAAATATTGCAAAGAAAAAATGACAAAGACCTGAGGAAAGTGAAAAATGAGATAATTCGGACGCGTTACCATAATTTTGACGCACCCTGTACTGTTAAGAATTCGCAAATATGCAGATTATTAGTTAACTAGGCACGTTATTCTGTTAAGAATTTGCAAACTTGTGCTCGATAAACAAGTACTCTTTAGCCTGTTAGTAGAAGAAACTTCAAGAAGTCTGACACACTGAAAGCTTTACTTTTTAAGCTATCGTTAAGCTTTTTTAGTATTGCAATTAGTCAAAGTTTTGATAAGGCTTGATAATCTAAGTTCAGTCTTTTTTAGGGTTTCAACTGTGCTGACACTGACATCAGCTGGCCGGCTAAAGAAGAAACCATTTCTTCGCACACAATGTTCATCATCTTTGCTTCCATCATTTTAGTTATGGTTGGTTTCAGAGAACATCTCGAGTAAAGCGTTTTCTAAGAAGAAGATTACCGTAATTTTGTGAATGTTTTAGTGGATTACATGGCCGAGTGGGCTACGCGTTTGTTTCTAAAACGAAAACGAGAATTTTAGAAGCAAACGCGTTCGAAACTGTGTTAGATTGCGGGTTCGAATCCGGTTAGAGTTAGAGTTTGGCGGGTTAGAGTCAGCACTTTCAAGAAAGAATTCTGATTTACGTATAATCTGATACTTGAAAACATTTATTAAAGATATTGGATTGGTGAATTGAAAACTGCCAGCTATTGTCATATGTGACAGTCTGAGCACTTTCTTCAAAAGAAACCCATTTTGGTGTCAATGGATAAGTTGTAGAGAAACAAAAATCAAGCTTATATCCAAATTCCATTTAGTAGTTTGGCTTAAAATTTCTGTGTTCTGTGTGTTCTCTGTGCGGCTGCGTAATCGCTCGTCGTCTGGCGCAGGGCTTTTACATAACCCCCTTCCTTCCCCGGTTACGAAACTAGTTCGGCCGGCTCCGAATCCTCAAATTGGACATTGACTTCTCCTCAAATCAAGGCTAATCTCAATCTATTAGGCTGGTGGATCGAGAACTGCGGGCTATTGTCATATGTGACAGTTTGAGCACTTTCTTCAAAAGAAACCCATTTTGGTGTCAATGGAAAAGTTGTAGAGAATCAACAATCAAGCTTATATCCAAATTTTCAGAACGATTCAAAAACTGGTTTTCAAGAAATGCCAAATTTACGAATTTTCACAAAACTTGCATTTTAAGCGAAACTACTAAGTGTATCTTTTAGGAAATTTGGCTATAAGCCTAATTTTTGATTCTCTACAACTTTTCTTCTGACACCAAAATGGGTTTCTTTTGAAGAAAGTGCTCAAACTGGGACTTCTCCAGCCTCCATCTCCAGTCCTCCATTTTTGAGTCTCACACTTGTCTCACACACAAACCAAAATCCTACTACGAAAGAGGAATCCGCAAATTGCCTGTAAAATGGGCAGAAGTCGTCAATAATAATGGAAATTATTTGGAATGAATTGATGGTTTTATGTTGAATAAATTTTAGTTCAAAGTCCCGCAGTTTTCGATTCACCAACCCAATAGTTTGCAGCTAAAGCCTCAAAGCTCCGGAAGAAGAATAGGCCCTCCAAGTCAAAGATCGTCCTCCTTCACGACAACGCGCGCCCTCATGTTGCAAAACTGACTCGCTCTAAAATAAATAGCCTTGTTTGGGAACTTTTGTCGCATCCCAATACAGTCCGGACCTCGCCCCTTTTGATTACTATTTATTTTGATTACTATTTATTCCGGATCATGAGTAATGAGCTTGCGGGAGAACACTTCGATTCGGAAGAAGCAGTCAAAAATTGGCTTTGAAAGGCTCGATTCAAAACCAAAATCCTACCACGAAAGAGGAATCCTTTTTTGCCTGTAAAATGGGCAGAAGTCGTCAATAATAATGGAGATTATTTGGAATGAATTGATGGTTTTATGTTGAATAAATTTTAGTTCAAAGTCCCGCGGTTTTCAATTCACCAACCCAATAAAATAAATGTTTTTAAACACTGAAATCAGCTAAAAATTGAGCAGAAAAGGGTTTATAAAATAAAATGATTGACTTCTTTTATAGTAAATCGATAAAGGAGCACTTTTTTTAAGAATGAGCATTACTTGAGGTTTTACTTGACGTTTTACTTGACGCTTACTCAAGTGAAAGATTACTTGGAACATCTCAAATAAATAATTACTCAAGTAATTATTTACTTGAGATGTACACAAATTTCTAGTTGAATGGCTTGAGATGTCTAGTTGGCTGAATATATAAGTTGAAAAGAGATTTCGTCTTCATTTTCTTCAAGCTTTCATTTCTTAATCACCTTTCCCTTCAGATCCCACTCACCGAGATGACAATGGTGAAAACGACAAGCGGAAAAATTCGGCACATTCAAATTCATCGTTTCGCCGTTCACCCATATTTTCTCAAAGTCTGGTTCTTTATCTGTGAGTTAGAGAAGCTCGCTAATTGATTTTCAAAAACGAATTCCTTTTTTAGTTTTCAATTTTAGCTAAATTTTCAGCTGCATTTGGATGTGCTGCTCTTGCAACGTCTGTTGCGGCAAATCTCTTCAAGAGAACCTCATCGAGGCTAAGGCCCAATTTTCTAGACACTTGTCAACCAGCTAATTTGAGGTTTGTAAAGAAGATTAGCAATAATGCAATAAATGCAAAGATTTTATAAGTAACGTAAAACTTTGTACACCAGACGAGCACTTGTAAAAATTGGATGAAAGCCTAAAAACTTGAAACGAATAATGTTCATTCGTTTCCTTTCCTGACTAAAAATAGAAGTTTAAAGCAATTTCTTAAAAGCTAAGACATTGATAGAGGATATTATAAGATATTACATTATTGTATATCTCTAAGCCTCCAATATCTAAGCCTCCAATATCTAAGCCTCCAATATCTAAGCCTCCAATATCTAAGCCTCCAATATCTAAGCCTCCAATATCTAAGCCTCCAATATCTAAGCCTCCAATATCTCTAAGCCTCCAATATCTCTAAGCCTCCAATATCTAAGCCTCCAATATCTAAGCCTCCAATATCTCTAAGCCTCCAATATCTAAGCCTCCAATATCTAAGCCTCCAATATCTCTAAGCCTCCAATATCTCTAAGCCTCCAATATCTTAGCCTCCAATATCTAAGCCTCCAATATCTAAGCCTCCAATATCTCTAAGCCTCCAATATCTCTAAGCCTCCAATATCTCTAAGCCTCCAATATCTCTAAGCCTCCAATATCTCTAAGCCTCCAATATCTCTAAGCCTCCAATATCTTAGCCTCCAATATCTCTAAGCCTCCAATATCTAAGCCTCCAATATCTCTAAGCCTCCAATATCTTAGCCTCCAATATCTCTAAGCCTCCAATATCTAAGCCTCCAATATCTCTAAGCCTCCAATATCTCTAAGCCTCCAATATCTCTAAGCCTCCAATATCTCTAAGCCTCCAATATCTCTAAGCCTCCAATATCTTAGCCTCCAATATCTCTAAGCCTCCAATATCTAAGCCTCCAATATCTCTAAGCCTCCAATATCTTAGCCTCCAATATCTCTAAGCCTCCAATATCTAAGCCTCCAATATCTCTAAGCCTCCAATATCTCTAAGCCTCCAATATCTCTAAGCCTCCAATATCTTAAGCCTCCAATATCTAAGCCTCCAATATCTAAGCCTCCAATATCTCTAAGCCTCCAATATCTCTAAGCCTCCAATATCTCTAAGCCTCCAATATCTAAGCCTCCAATATCTCTAAGCCTCCAATATCTCTAAGCCTCCAATATCTCTAAGCCTCCAATATCTAAGCCTCCAATATCTAAGCCTCCAATATCTCTAAGCCTCCAATATCTCTAAGCCTCCAATATCTAAGCCTCCAATATCTAAGCCTCCAATATCTAAGCCTCCAATATCTCTAAGCCTCTAATATCTCTAAGCCTCTAATATCTCTAAGCCTCTAATATCTCTAAGCCTCTAATATCTCTAAGCCTTGTAATTTTCATATCACTAAGCTTCATGTCCCTACATATCTCTAAGCCTTATAATTTTCTTAAAAACTTCTCCACGAAGATAAAATAAGTATAAAAAACGTTTTTGTTGAGTCTTAAAATGTTTTTAAAGTCTAAAAAGTTTTAATAACAAAATTTCTAAAGACAGCATATGAAAAGATTAATAATTTAATGACAAGCTTAAGAATGACAAGCTTAAGAATGACAAGCTTAAGAATGACAAGCTTAATAATGACAAGCTTCATAATGACAAGCTTCATAATGACAAGCTTCATAATGAGAAGCTTAAGAATGACAAGCTTCATAATGACAAGCTTCATAATGACAAGCTTCATAATGAGAAGCTTAAGAATGACAAGCTCTAATGACAAGCTTCATATGACAAGCTTCAATGAGAAGCTTATGATAGCTTCCTAATGACAAGCTTAATAATGACAAGCTTAAGAATGACAAGCTTAAGAATGACAAGCTTAATAATGAGAAGCTTAAGAATGACAAGTTTAATAATCTTGAAACCGCTGTTATTGGAACAATAAACATTTATTGGAACTTTTTATACTTTAAAAACATCTTAACACTCATAAAAAAACGTTTTTTATGCTTCTGACAAAAAAGCAGAAAATTTGGCGGCAAGTGGAATTGAACCAGATAGAAAAGGCAGCATAATTTCTGAAGTCTAGCCCATTATCCCCTAAGCCGCCGCTGCTTTTACGACCTTTCGGCGTGGCGTCCCCTTATTTAGTTCCTATTTGTTTCTTTATAGTTCCTATTTGGTTTCTGTTTGGTTCCTACTTGGTTCCTATGGGTTTCCTTTTCGATTCCGATTTGTTTCCTTATAGTTCCTATTTGGTTCCGATTTGGTTCCGATTTGGTTCCTATTTGGTTCCGATTTGGTTCCGATTTGGCTCCGATTTGTGTCCTAATGGTTTCCTTATAGTTCCTATTTGGCTCCTGTTTGGTTCCTGTTTGATTTCGATTTGTTTCCTTATCGTTCCTATTTGATTCCTATTTGATTCCTATTTAAATTTGCCAAAAATTACCAAAATTTTGGACACGTTTTTCTCGAAAACCAGGGCCCATCGGGAAAAAACAAAAAAAAAACTACGTGTTTCTTAGAATTCTACGGGGACGTTTTATAGCTAGGTCTGCTTCCGAAACTCGTTGATAAGTTGAAACAGTTCCCTAGTTAATAAAATAAGACTTCTGAAGAGGCTACAAAATTGAACAGATTCCCTTCGCGCATTGCACAGTCCAAGCGGCGTGAGCAACCAGTATGAGCGGCAAGAATGAGTACAAGCGGTATGGGCGGCAAGAATAGTTCAAGCGGTATGAGCGGCAAGAATTGAAGACCCATCATGATAGAAGACGTATGGATTGGCCATAAAAACTTAATCTTTTCAAAAAATTAAACCAATAATAGCCTTTTCTAAGTAAAATATCACTCAGATAAAGATTTGAAGTGATTTTCATAGCAGCTTTAATTTGAAGATTGAGATGATTTTGATGAAGATTCCCTGCGGCGCACGGTTTATTTTTTTCCAAGCAGTTTTCACGAGTCAAAGCCAAGGAAAAGAAAGTCAAACCGAGGTTGATTCTCTTTTTTTTCCTATTTTTGTGGATTATTTTCATTGTTTTACAATGAAATTTCTGTTTGTGGATAAGTTTTTGAGGAAATTTCAAGGAAATTCCAAGGAAACAATGGTTTATAGGAGTAGAGTGTGTTCCTCTCGAGTAATATGTTTTCTAAAAAGCACCTATTTGAGAAAAGTACCTTAGCCAAACCGTTAGTTTACATTCGATCAACCCGATTTTCGTGTCATTGACTGAGCATTGTATTGGGTTGATGCATAATTATCCGGACTTCTTTTATAAATGATTTTATTTAACAAAAAATAACATAAATAGTTAGAAAAATATGTTTAATTGATTATTCTGGAGCATATTCACCGCCTACATCAATAACTGATTGCCATTTGCTTGGAAGACGATCGATTCCACGAGCGAAGAATAAACGATCTTTGGAGGCAATCCACGCTTTAACATCGTCTATCAAGTCATCCAAATCGTTGTAGATCTTATTTGTTTGCCAATTTTTGAGCGATCGATTGACGTGGTAGTCCGTTGGGGCTTCTCCAGTTCTTTGAGATCGCGAAACGACTCTGCGGCAGACCATCCCTTTTCGAAGTGGTAGAGCATGATATGGCGAAGATGGATATGATTGTCGACACGCATTTTGTTCACTAAAGAATAACGAATATTTAAAAAAAAGAAATAGACAAAAAGCTTTCAAAACAAAAAAGATACAAGCACGCAAAAAGAAGTCCGGATAATTATGCATCAACCCAATAATTCCCCATTGAATGATACCAAAGTCGGACGAATTCAATATAAACTAACGGTTTGATTACGGTACTTTTCTCGAGTCAATCCTTAAATTTTTCCATCATTCTAACATTCTAAAAAACGCATTACTCTAGAGGAACACACTCTATATAGGAGTGGTCGAAAATGACCACTCTATATAGGAGTGGTCAATCATTTTCACGCATCCTGTATACTAAAACTACGACAAAATTATGGAAGGGTACGACAAAATTATGAAACGGATGCTTATTGATGAATGGAAAGAAGACAATGAAGAGATTACTCAAAGTGTTTCCCATTATTTGAAAGCTCTTAATGAATACTACAAAATAGAATAACAAAATAGAATAATTAAATCAAAAACTTGTGCAAATCTTGGAAAAATTTATCGACCTTTGATTCCATTTTGTAGTATTCATTAAAAGCTTTCAAATAATGAAAACACTTGGAGTAATCTCTTCATTCTCTTCTTCTCATTCATCAATAAACATCCGTTTCATCATTTTCCATAAAATGTACATTCCATTCGGTTAGTTTTCATTTGTTTTAGTCTTCTTTGCCCGCCATGCTCTCAAAACTACATCGCCACAGTGACGTGTATGGCAGAGACCTCAAGAGATGAGCACTATTCCTTCCCTTCTGGACATGCCGCTCATTCAGCGAATCTTGCAATCTTTACAATAGTGAGTTATCAAAGTTGAAATGTAATCGAAAATATTGGATTGTCCGGTTATGAAGGCGCGTTTTTACTATTTTGTAAATTTCTCAAGATATCGAACAGATGCATATGAGTGTTGTATATCATTCGAAAGCTGATGATCTCCTCTACATTTTGATATAAAAAGCTTTGGAATTTGTTCAGCTTTTGGGCAAATTAATTGCACAAAGGGAGAGGTAGTTTTCAGCCCATTCCAGCTTAGCTATTCCTCAAGTTTTATGGTGTAAAATAACCGCCCAGAAAAGAAAAGAAGAGTGAAGATGCTCTGAAATTGTTATATTTTAAAAAAAGTTGTATTGATATATCTATTCGCCAAACATCAAACGGTTAACTCAATTTGAACGGAGCCAAAACTTGATCCAAAGGCACCTTTCCATTTTTTGGCCACCTCTTCTTCTGTGCCGTCAATTTACCCAAAAGCTGAACAAATTCAAAAACTTTTTATATCAAAATGTAGAGGAGATCTTCAGCTTTCGAATAATACTCATATATACAGGGTGCGTCATAATTATTGCAACAAGATACTCAAGGCATTGCACACCAAGAAGTTTCACTGGAAGAAGATTTTTAAACAGAAATAGCTTTATTTAACAGTAAAAAAATAAGGAAACAAGAGATGATTCGATATGACCGCCTTTTGCCTTGATAACAGCCCTTAATCGGTTCGGATATGCCTCCACTGCGGCCCGAATGTCATCTTGAGGAGTCGCCTTCCATCCTTTGGTCAAAGACTTCTTCAAGGTCAAAGACTTCTTCAAGGTCAAAGACTTCTTCAAGGTCAAAGACTTCTTCAAGGTCAAAGACTTCTTCAAGGTCAAAGACTTCTTCAAGGTCAAAGAGCAGACATTAGCCTCTAAGATTGCCCAAATGGAAAAGTCCATCACATTGAGATCCGGTGAGATCCGGTTCATCCTTGGTGATCACTGAGGGAAAGTTGGCCACACACCAGTCCTGAACCGTCTTTTTCGTGTGAGCGGGAGGCAATTAGGCAAGAATAAAGAAGATAGAACGCAACACAACAAAAAAGGGGCAAAAAAAATAAGAAAGCTGTTTGGAAAACGGTCTTGTTGCAACTCTTGTTGCAATAATTATGACGCACCCTGTATCTTTTTCTTGATTTCGGTATCTTGAGAAATAGTAAAAAACGCGCATTCATAACTGGACAACCCAATAAATGAGTTCAGCTCTATCTTCACAAACGAATGAAACTCTGGCCAATCGTTCGCGCTTTTGCTCAGTATGTGCTTTTCGTTTTGACAATTTGGATTAGTTTAACGTAAGTTATAAAGTTTTTTTAATACCCTAGATCAATCATTTTTTTTTCAGAAGAGTTCGAGATTTTAAACACCGATTCACTGATGTGATTGGCGGATATTTCTTCGGAGCTGTGATTGGTTTTGGAATGGTTTGACATTGATATTTGATAGAAATGAATTGAAAAGATGAATTGAATTCGTTTAGATTCATCTAATACTTCGACATTTCAAACATTATCGCTATCGGGTACACGAAGAAGAGATAACAATCGATGGGAGCATCTCTCAATCGCCAACCCCTCCAAATTATGGGGCTTTTCATCATGCAAAAAGTATTGCTTGTCTCGTAGAATAAAGAATTTCGAAAAATTTTAAACCAATGGCAAAAGATTTGGCTAAAATTTGGGTAAGCCAGCTGGGTAATTTAAGCAGAAACTTTTTACAAGAAAGAATCAGTTTAAGTTTCTATGCAAATCGAAAAAGAGCACAAAATTAAGAGCTTTACTGTTTATTTGAATCATTTTGAAACAGATGGCCTACTAGACTTGGGAAAATTCAAACCCCATCTAATTTCACCTTCATTTTCTTAGCCATTTCTTGGCCGATTGCTCTGAAATTTTGTTTACAAATAGAAATTACCATTCTCTGCTTGTAGACAAAATTTCAGAGCAATCGGCCAAGAGGTGGCTGAGAAAACGAAGGTGGAATTAAGTTCGGGGTGGAATTTTTCCATGTTTAGGATCTACTAGACTAGAGCCAGGCTGGGTTCAAGCCAGGCTATTCCAGAATTGTCAAAACCTACCAGATCTTGTTCTGACTTTTGGTCGTGCTTTTGATTACTGATAAACAAATGATCGGATTCACTAGCCTGGAGGTGCTTTTGTTGGCCAGGCTTGCTTAAAACCAAGAAAATTCTGAATAAGAAAATTCTGAATTCCGGAACTTTTCGTAGTCGAACCCACAATGAAGGCCAAAACTATTGGATTGGTGAATTGAAAACTGCCAGCTATTGTCATATATGACAGTTTGAGCACTTTCTTCAAAAGAAACCCATTTTGGTGTCAATGGGAAAGTTTTAGAGAATCAAAAATCAAGCTTATATCCAAATTTTCAGAACGATTCAAAAACTAGCTTTCAAGAAATGCCAAATTTAAGAAAGAAATGCCAAATCTTCACAAAACTTGCATTTTAAGCGAAACTACTAAGTGTATCTTTTTCAAAATTTGGCTATAAGCCTAATTTTTGATTCTCTACAACTTTTCTTCTGACACCAAAATGGGTTTCTTTTGAAGAAAGTGCTCAAACTGGGACTTCTCCAGCCTCCATCTCCAGTCCTCCATTTTTGAGTCTCACACTTGTCTCACCGCAGTTTTCAATTCACCAACCCAATACATTTGAAAGTATTCAACAGAAGATTTATTTTCACAAAAACAAAACACAGAAAGTTCACAAAATATCACAAAGAAACAAGTGGAATGTTTTCAAGAAATTGCACAAAAGAATCACAAAAGTATCACAAAAGTTTCACAAAAGAATCAGAAAAGGCAGAATTGCACAAAAACAAGGCAAGTAACTCAACTCGAAAATGACCTAAACACTAAAACAGTAAGGCAAGTACAGTAAACAGCAGTATTTTAGGCAAATTTAAATATTTAGGACAAGGAAAAACAGTATATAACGGTTGAATGATGTTCTAGAACGAACATACCATCAAATTATATCAAACACGAAACGTTGATGCTTGATATAGTGAAGAAAAAAAAAAGAAACCCATGATGGAGAAGAGGGATTGCGGTCACGTTGACCGAGAAGCGCCCCGCATAGGGCAATAGTAATGAAGAATGCCCCACATAGGGCAACAGAAACACACAAAACCCAACCTAGACAATCGAAAGATCAAAAAAAAAGATCGATTAAAGATTGTATGGTGGTAGGAATTTGTAAACGAGACGCTGTTTCTTCTCGGGTTTCTGAATAATCCCTTTCTTGTAGTATTGGCGGAGACTTCGCGACAATTTGTCGTAGTTCATTTGCGAGCGATTCTTGCGTTGGCCCCAGATTCGGGCAAGTGCATGAGAGGATTCGATTTTGAAAGTACCTAAAAGATAATGATTAGAACTTGTTTTTGATTCTGTTTAGAACCTTTATTATATTTTTGAATTAGAACTTGATTATTATATTTCTCTGGATTCAAGTCTCAATCATAATCATGCTGTCAACTACGTTACTTACAAAAGAATGTTAAAAAAAAAATCATGTCAAAATCAATGTCTGAATGATGCCAAATCCTATGCTATCTATATCATTAGACGCAGAATTTGATGCTGATTTCGAGTACGTATTCCGTTTTTGCTAAATGACAATCTGTCAAGAGTTATAAGCGTTTAAAGTTTGTTAAGACGCTGAAAATGTGGTCTTAGCGATCTTAGCGGTCTTAGCAGTCTAGCAGACTTAGCTTTGGATCTTAACGGCCTTCTTGCGGTCCTAGCTCGGTGCAGCCTTGGCCGAGCGGTACAGCCTTGGCCGAGCGGTACAGCCTTGGCCGAGCGGTACAGCCTTGGCCGAGCGGTACAGCCTTGGCCGAGCGGTACAGCGCTCGTTTACAGAGCGAGACCTCGCAATTTTGATCCCAACTTTGGCTTTTTGTTCTGTTTTTTTGAGTGGAACCAGTTACAAGGAACATTGAAACATTCACTAGTTGGAGGCTCTAGAGTTGGCTTTAGCTATTAGCTTTAGCTATTGGCTTTAGCTATTGGATTTAGCTATTAGCTTTAGCTATTGGCTTTTAGCTATTAGCTTTAGCTATTGGCTTTAGCTATTGTCTTTTAGCTATTCGCTTTAGCTATTCGCTTTGAGCTATTGGCTAAAATTTCCGCAAGTAAGTCTAAAACGGCTGTTTCTTATCGATTGTCGACTGTTTATCTTAACATTTGAACTTTAAAATTCCAACAAACCTTCATCCCGGTCCACCCATCGAACACAATGCGAGTAAAGCTTTGGTTGATCGAGAAGCTCACGAATGAAATGCCATAGATGAACGGTGCCCGATGGACGGAAAGGGATCGATCCACTTTGCTGACCTTCGCCCATTGATCCGCCCATTGCCGACATCTGAAATCATTTGAATTGAGATGTATATTTATTCACACGAATAATTTGGTACAAATTCCCTAAGCAGCACAATCCCTAAACCCTAAAAAAACCATCTAAATGAAAAAAAAGATAATCAATAATCTAGCCAGCGGGACTGAACCCTTGACCTCGTGATTAAGATAGCTAGTTGGCCAGTTGGCTATAGCAAACTTTGTATTTCTTGAATATCTCTTTAAGTGAAGCCACTCACCGGTCCAATGTTCAAAACACCATCAAGTTCTTCATCGCAAATCGATCCAGGACTGCTCAAATCGGAGTTTGTTGGCGAGTGAAGGCCATTGCCAAAAAAGACATTGTTCAGTTGATCTTGCATAGTTGGTGATTGAAACGGTTCTAAAGTTGTGAATAAAATAATATTTTGACTTTCTGTTACCATTGTAGAATCCGCTCATTTGCTCAACTCCAGGGAAAAGCTGAAAGTTCCTTGAGACTTGGCTCTTCGACGATGAAGGCCAATCTTTTGGCCCTGAGCTCTCAGCGGCTGTCATTCCAAAGCTTCCACCGCACGAATTGTTCTGGTGTTGTTGGTAGGTTTCAAAAGCTAAATCAGAAAAGTTTGTATTTTGTTTGAAAGTTTGAAAATTCTTCTTACCAGTCTTCCAAAGTTGAAGCTGAGCATAGAGAGTGTCTCCGGCATGTGGAGCGAAACTCTCAAAGTCTCGTTGATTCATTTGGAGAAGCGCTCGCCCGGTGACGGTCGATTTCTGAGGAAGTGGAAGGTTGAACTGCTCGCACATTTCCCCAATCCATTTCCAGCTGTGCTCACCAGTCCAATGGCTGGCATCTGAAGGAATTTTGTTCTGAAGGAATTAGGACTTGGTTAGGAGAATTGTTAGAAGTAGATTGTTTACTAGACTGTTTACTAGACTCACCTGTAGGCAGGCCAAGCCTTGCACAAGTTGTCGAGATATCTTGAATCAAGTGTCTCAAGATCAGATCACTGAAATTGTTCATTTAAGTCTCTAATAGTTTTATCGTTAGATACCGATAGATGTCAATCTGTTGAGAATCGACTCCTTCAGCCGCTTCTCCGATTGGTTCCATGTTCTGCATTGTGTGCGCATATGGATAAGCATTGTTGTTGTTTAAGCGATGAGCTTCAACTAAACTAATTGATTCAGAAAAGGTCTGTATGCAGTTTTTGATCAGATATTAGAAATATAGTTTGTTAGGTACAAGGGAACGTTCCAAAGAAGATTATTCTGTTCAAAAAATTCAGTTTAAAGTTCAAACTTCAAGTTTAAACTTCAAGTTTAAACCTCAAGTTCAAACTTATTCAATTTAAATAGTTTAAAAAGAAAAAAGACTGTAAAAAGCTGAAAGTAAACACTTTAAGAACTTCAAAAATGTTTTGCGGAAGTTTTACAAAAAAGGGAAAAGTAGGGTGGCGAGAGGATTCAAACCCGAGAGGAAAGGTGGCACTAGTTTGGTAGACTAACGCACTATCCCCTAGCACTCACTATCCCTAACGCCGATACTATTATAGCACCATCTTATAGATGAGGTGAAAGTTTGCCGAAAAGTTTGCTTCCTTTGGGTCATTCTCTTTGGGTCATAACGCCGATACTATTATAGCACCATCTTATAGATGAGGTGAAAGTTTGCCGAAAAGTTTGCTTCCTTTGGGTCATTCTCTTGTTAGTTACGGCAAATTTTAGTAGCCAAGAAACGGGCCAGGCCAAGAAAAGGGCCAGGCCAAGAAACGGGCCAGGCCTACGGTAAGGCCAAGAAAGATCAAAATCAATGCTAAACTAACCAGAAGCCAGATCAGAATCTGCCTTCTGACCTGGCTTCTGTCTATTTTCTATTTGAATACTATTTTCTCAAACTGTAAGTCAAATATTGCTAAGTTTATGTTTTTCCTTAGCCATAATATGAGAATTCAAGAACTAACTGTACCACGAACCTTCAAAAACTTCTTGTTTCACTTGAGTCGGTTGAAAATTGGCCTCCAGGCTGCTCTGGAATGTTCACAAATTTGTTTATTCATGTTCATTCATGTTCATTCATGTTTATTCATGTTTATTCATTGTTCTCGATCTTTTAATCATTTCAAGTTACGTTTTAAGTTACGTCATCTCAGTCTACATGCAGAATTGCTTTCTTTTCTCATCTTTTCTCTTTTCTCATCTTTTTCCCCGTTTTCTTATCCATTTTTCTTTCGGACAGTCACAAGACATTGACGCCACGAGGCTTGTAAGGTTGAAGTGGAAAGGCGAGTTCTTATCTTTCAAAAAAAACTCTTTCTTTCAAATTCTTTCAAAAAACCTTTCCAATTTTCCAAGAGTTCTAATTTCTTGATAACGCTCGTTTCGAACAGAATCGAAAAAACGAAAAGTGAATGGATTAAGAGAATTGGAGAACTTAATAGCTCACAAACAAGGTAATAAAAATGAAGGCTCAATCGATTCAATCAATTAGCGATTAAGGCTTAAGATAGAGCTTAAGATAGAAGATAGAGAGCTAATAGAGAACTGTGAGAATTGTATGTACTATAAGTGTACAGAACTTGACTTGTACAGTGTACAGAACTTGACTTGTACAGTGTACAGAACTTGACTTGTACAGTGTACAGAACTTGACTTGTACAGTGTACAGAACTTGACTTGTACAGTGTACAGAACTTGACTTGTACAGTGTACAGAACTTGACTTGTACAGTGTACAGAACTTGTACAGTGTACAGTGTACAGAACTTGACTTGTACAGTGTACAGAACTTGACTTGTACAGTGTACAGAACTTGACTTGTACAGTGTACAGAACTTGACTTGTACAGTGTACAGAACTTGACTTGTACAGTGTAAAGAACTTGACTTGTACAGTGTACAGAACTTGTACAGTGTACAGAACTTGTACAGAAAGTGTACAGAAGCCGTTTAACTTGATCAAGTAATTAGCTAGCTTTAAAAGATGGTTGCGAACTAGTTTCTTTAAACTCAGCTGTACTGAAATGATAAATAGCTAATAGCTAATATGTAAAAAGTATTCATTTGTAGCATAAACCAACCCTTTGCATCGGTCGTTTACAGAAAGCACTTTGAAGTGAAGCGGCCGCGTCGGCCAATGAAGCTGTTGGCACCGGGTTACTGTAGGCGAGATCGGGCGTGGTGCACATTGGAGGAGTGCTGAGACCTTCGCTCTGAAATTTTCAACCTTACTATGTAAGTTTAATGTAATAAGATCGTTTCGCTAAACCTGGATTTAAAAATGGGTTGTCCAGCGCTGGTCAAACGCGACATTTGACATTTGATACGCGCCTCACCCCTTTACCATTGGCAATCTAACTTTGCCAATGGTAAAGGTTGCCAATGGCAAAAGGGGCGGGATATTCCTTTTTAACGCAACCCGTTTTGCCCCTTTGCCATTGGCAATCTAACTTTGAGCTCAAATTTCTTGGTGTTGGGCTGTTCAATTTGAATAATTTTGATATCATTAGATGTACGAAGTCTTTCTCTGTCGATTGGTACAAAAACTATTTAAATTGGACCACCCAACACCAAGAAATTTGAGCTCAAAGTTAGATTGCCAATGGCAAAGGGGCAAAACGAGTTGCGTATAAAAGGAATGTCCCGCCCCTTTGCCATTGGCAATCTAACTTTGAGCCCAAATATCTTGGTGTTGGGCTGTTCAATTTAAATAGTTTTTGTACCAATCGATAGAGAAAGACTTGGCACATCTAATGATATCAAAAATATTTAAATTGGACCACCCACCACCAAGATATTTGAGCTCAAAGTTAGATTGCCAATGGCAAAAGAGGCGCGATGTGTATAAAAGGTCCCACAATCCAAACGCTAACTTTAAAAAAGCGGTTTGTCCTGTATTACTTTAGAAATGAATAAATAGGAATAAAGAAAGTTGTTTTTTGACTTTTCGAATAAAAATTCAACTCTACCATCTCGTTTAGGTTTGGCTAGAAAAGAGTTTCAGCTAGAAGCTTCAGCTAGAATGCTAGAAGCTTCAGCTAGAATGCTAGAAGATTCAGCTAGAAAAGAGTTTCATTCAGAGAATTTAACTCAAAGAGGTGAGAAAGGTGATAAATTGAAACAGACATGTTAACTCCGCTTCTTTTTTGATAAAAAATTTGATTTCGAGTCGAATGAAAGCAAATTCAACGTTTTTTAAACAAACCCGGCTAAGATACGAGCAAAATACGTGGATTGTCAACGGCAAACCGACTGAAAAAGCGGCCGAGTTAACATGGCTGATTTTAAAATGATTTCGAGCTTAGTAGCCTAGCTTAGTAAGTAAAATAACCAAAGTAAGCCAATGAAATAAAAAGCGATCACCTTGATATCCGATCGAAAATCGTCGTCGAGTCGCTCGGAAGTATTTGACGGGCTCATCGCCCACGGGAATTCACAGCAAGAGTCTTCGAATCGCGGGAAGTAATTGCTCATCGAATAGTCAACTAAAAGACCCTCTTCTAAAGCAATAAAAAAAGCAAAAGAACCTCTCTCAAAAATGACCGGTTCTTGAAAGAACATATTTTTGTTGGTCTTGGGGTGGTTGCAAGTGGGGAAGTGGGTGCCGAATGAGGAGACCTTATCAAGGCAACTTCCCCCCATTTCCCCTTTTCCCCTTTTCACTTCACCCCCAGCAAATCCCTCCCAACGCCAGCCACCCACACCTGTTAACCCCGATGGATAAGCTTTGTATGTCGTCAAAATTTTCAGGTTACTTTCACGAAAATAAACGAAAAGCTTCAGGTTTTGACTTTCAAGAGTCGAATTTCGTCACAATCTTGTAGGGAAATGATTTCCGATGAACGTACGAAGAGATTATTTGATTGGAAAACGCTGAAATGGTAAAATTTACAAAGTCGACGCCCACATGTAGGTACTTCAGTCAATGAACGGTCAAGGGAATGGACAGAAGCGTGTGGGTTCAAGGATTAAGAGAAAAGAAACTTGTGGGTAGATCGGGTGAATCGGTTTAGGCAACCATCTACGCTTTCATTTTGCGTAAAGAGTATATTTCCGGGATGATAGCTAAGGGGAACTCTTTGAGTTAGACAAACCGCTTTTTTAAAGTTAGCGTCCAGGGGAACTCTTTGAAGTTAGATTTCAAGAGCGATCTGATTCCAAAGTGCAAACACCGCTTGGCTAAGCTTTCAAATCAAATCATAAGCTATGAGATATAAGTCTTCAAAGTTTTGGCCAATTTCGCCAAACAACAAGCTGGCGCTTACGGGTCAACACGTGGGTTAAATTCGCGTGGGTCAAACGGCGTGCCTAGTGGATAGTGTGCTAGCGTCTCTGACTTTTTGTTTCTGGTTTGATCGGTTTGGTCCGTTTGGAGGTCGGTTTGGAGCCGATCAGACTTTTTGTTTTTTAGAAAAACACTCGAAAATTACTTTTTTTGATCAGCTTTTGTTCTTACATAATGTTAGCTTGTTGTAAAAAGGCCTCGACTTTTGAATCGACTTTTGAATCGACTTTTGAATCGACTTTTGAATCGACTTTTGAGTCGACTTTTGAATCGACTTTTGAGTCGACTTTTGGATCGACCCAACAACCTTTTTTGGGTGATCTCGAACTCTATCTCGACTATTCTCTAGCTCGACTATTCTCTATCTCGACTGGCAAATTGTAGGCTGAATATTTAAAGTATTATTTATTGTAGATATTATAGATCTGTATATTTTTCATTCATCCTTGCAAATTGTTAAAAAAACAAATCCAAAAGCTGGATTTGCCAGGTACAGCCGAGAGGAATAGTTTCCACATCTATGGAAAATCTTGGAAACATCTATCTTTGGAAAGCCAAAGGTTTAAGTTTTTCTCTTTATTCTTCGCTGGCATAAAAGTAGCTGGTACTTTTCGAATTCGGTGCCAAAATCCCAAGAAATAACTTTTGGTACTATATACTAATATTTTGGTACTAAATCTACCATCATTGAGAGTTTGATGCATTAGGAATTTACCGTCAGTCATGCATACAGTCATGAACAAAAGTCTTTTAACATTGATTTTTAGAAGTTTGTTTTTTGTATATCTTGGCCCAAATCCAACCAATTTACAAAACGGTTAAAAGGTTTAAAGAGCTTATTATCTTTAGTCTTAGCATTAGCAAAATGATGGATTGTGATGAGCTTTTAAAAAACAAAAATTTAGCCAAAGGCCAATTTAGCCAATCGATGGACAAAAGTCTTTTAACATCACCGTTTTTTCGAGAAATTTCTTCTTTTTCTGTCTTTTTCCTTTTGATTTCTGGCTGCAAACTGTAATTTTTTAGAGGCCCGGCGCCTACTTATCAACTTCTGACAAAGAGAAAATCCTCAAAGCTCGAAAGAATGGAATGTCTAGAAAAGCCGTCGCTGAGCTCTTCCGCTGTATCGCTTGTTGAAATTTCAACTGTATCGCTTGTTGTCTGTATCGCTGTATCGCTGTAGAAACAACTGTATCGCTTGTTGTCTCCAGGGCCAACAGACTAACAGACAGACAGACAGACACTGCTCTTTTATATAGTAGATCTCAGCAGTTTTCCATTTCTGCAGACTTTTTCGTCTCAATTGCAGTTATTCTCATCAAAAACTATCCATCAATATTGCTAGAATACGATCTTTTCGCTAGTTTATGTTCTCAAGCTAGTTTATGTTCTCAATCTTATTTAAGAATTGCTTGTCAGCAACTAAAGAAGTCGTAAAACCTGCTCGTGCCTTAATTCCCTCGATTTTTACAATGCTGACAATGACATCACTTCGTTAATCATTTATTTCGCAATTTTTCAATTTCCTTTTTTCACACTTATTATTGTTTATTCAATTTTTCTTATTGTTTGGTAAAAAGAAACGCATTCAACTTTTACTTTTAACACTTTCACGCCAAAATTGTGCCAAATTAACCTCAACAGTTTTGTGCTAGATAGAGTACTCTCGGAACGAAAAAAAAAGAACAAAGTCTCTTCTCTACGTCATCCCCTTTTTTTTTTCTTCTCTGTGAATGAAAGTCCTTATGGGACGCCTGCCATAAATTCGACTTGACGGTCGTAAAAAGAAATTGATATGAGAAAAAAAAATTGCTTATAACCTCTTTCTGCAAATCCAATGATTCGAAAATCAAAAAGCAACAGGAAAAGGAGAAAATGAGAATCAAAATCAATTGAAGAAAGAGAAAATGAGAAGCAAAATCAATTGGAAAAAGGACAAACCTCGAAATGTGTCGATTTCGATGTGTCGATGTCGATTACAGGCTTTCAGTCGGGCACTCCTGTGTCAAGGGCCATCTGGAGTTGAGATCTGGAGTTGATAATTCATCATAATTCATTTCTTAACGTTTACTATGGAAACTTATATGAAATCGAAACGAAGAAAGGCAACGAAAAAAAGAAACGAAGAAAGAACCAAAATCTAACAAAAGAGGAATAAGTTTTTACAGATTTTCACTGAAGAATTGAACTCGAAAAGTTGCAAGAAGTTTCGTTTTTTGTTGGGGAACAATGAATGAATGAGTAACGCACCGGGCGTACAATCCGACTCACTCGGCACCCACACCAAGAAATCAAGAATTTTCATTCATTTTTCATTCAATCAAGTATTTTACCCGTAGAAATCTAAACCCATTCGACGATACGACCGTACGACGACCGTACGACGATACGACCGTACTTGACGGTCGTACGTACCTTTTTTTTGAGGCCGATTGGGTTGAAAATTTGCACCAATATTGCACCAAGGGGTTTTCGGGGCTAAAGAATTCGAATCCATACTTGGACATCGTACTTGGACACGAATTAAAGAAAACTGCTCTATTTTTGGATATTACAACCGGTTTAATTACCCACTTAACTCAGGTTTAATTACCCAGTTAACCTAGGTTTAATTACCTAGTTAACTCAGGTTTAATTACCCACTTAACCCAGGTTTGGTTACCCACAAATCCAGGGCCGTGTGCCAGAAGGCTACAAAAGATTACAAAAAGATTACAGACGATTACAAAAATGTGTAAATTTTCATGTTCACGTAATCGTGCAAAATCGGTCAAGCAGTAGCTAGTCAAGCAGTAGCTGGTCAAGCAGTAGCTAGTCAAGCAGTAGCTAGTCAAGCAGTAGCTAGTCAATCAGTAGCTAGTCAATCAGTAGCTAGTCAATCAGTAGCTAGTCAATCAGTAGCTAGTCAATCAGTAGCTAGTCAATCAGTAGCTAGTCAATCAGTAGCTGGTTAATTAGATTAAATTTCAAATAAGTAATGTAATATCAATCATTCTCATTTGCAAAAGAAAAGAAAATGTTTAGCAAGTTGATTGATAATTGAAGATACATTCATTTTGGTAAATAGTTTAAATTAAGACCAAAACAGGGTAGAAATATTGATTAAAGCAAAACTTGAGACCAGTGAAAGCAGTATCGAGGAAAATGAGTGAAAGTTCGGGGTTAGGGTTGGTGTGAAAGTAGGCGATTCACAGGTGAAAGGAGGGCTTAGGCTGGGTGGATATTCCTGTGGATCCTGAGGGATGAAAGGGAAAAGGAAGAGGGAAAGGAAGAGTCGAGAGGGTCAAACCGATTTAGGGGAAAGGAGGAGAGGAGGCAAGGACCGGTCAGTCTTCGGACAAAAACACACCGATCTCCCTCCTTTCCCTTCCAAGCCTCAGTCTCTTCTTTTTTCGATCCTCGACCTCACTTTCTTCTTTTCTTATTCATCTATTCTCATTTTTCGTTTTTCTTCCCCCAAACAGCATTTAAAGAAACATTTTTCTAACACCACCAACCTGAAAAGAGATTGAAAATGAATGAAAAGATTTTTGAAGAGTCAATTGAGTGCTTTTGTTTAAAAATACAAGGCAATCGTAAGCCAAAGATGATTTCGAAATTAAGTAGAGAAAAAAATGATGCCCGTTTTAAATTTTGTACATCTTTAACAAAGGGGTGTGCTTACACGATTTTTACAAGAACAGGACAAATCAAATGTTTGATGTTGATCAGAAGACAATCGACAACCATTTGCACTAACTTGGGAAAAGAGATTTGCTTTGAAAAATGCGTCCCGCATAACTCAAGACAAGACAACAAAACAATTCAAGACTCAAGACAACAAAAAACTCGTGTCAACGTCAGTCCTTTCTTGAATCTTGACTTCTGATGAAATGTGGACTAATTACGAGAATTTCAAAAGGAAAAACCAATGGCTATCTATTGGAAATACAGTACTGGACAATGAAATATGATATTTGAAAAAAGATCGTCACTTTAACTCCCTTGTCTTTACCGTATTTCTAAATATTAATATTACCATTTAATGTTCACCATCACAAAGAGATTCTCCATTGGTTCGTCTAAAACTAAAGTGTCGAATTTGCCAAATTACAGTCAATTAGTACCGAAATTTGTAAAAAATAGTGTAAAGTTAGTGTAAAATTAGTGTAAAAGTATGCATAAATCACTCAAAAACTGATCCAACGTCATTTTAAAGAAAAGCTTTCACTTTTGGTTTAGAGCTAAAATGCAATGAAAAGCTAAAATGCAATAAAAATTGCCTGTTAGCTGCCCGTCTGTCTGTCTGCCTGTTTGTCTGTCTGTCTGTGCACGCTACTCCTCAGCACCCAGATAAAAATTGCCTGTTAGCTTACAAAAAGTCTCAAAAGTATCAAATTGCTTTCAAGAATCGAATAGCAACTTTAAAACGTTTAAAGCTCATAAATAAACTCATTTTTTTTATGGGTTTTTCAATTGAAAACAGATTCAAATAGGTGAGCGCGATGACCGTAATTCTTTTGGTAATTCTTTTTGATCACAAATTACTGTCATGGACAAAAGTCTTTTAACGTTGGTTTTTAGAAGTTTGTTCTTTGTATATCTTCATCCAAATCCGACCAATTTGCAAACGGTTAAAAGATTTAAAGAGCTGTCTGTCTGTCTGTCTGTCTGTCTGTCTGTCTGTCTGTCTGTCTGTCTGTCTGTCTGTCGGTCTGCCTGTCTGTCTATCTGTCTGTCTGTCTGTCTGCCCGTCTGTCTGTCTGCCTGTTTGTCTGTCTGCCTGTGCACGCTACTCCTCAGCACCCAGAGGGCCGTTTGAAATAATTTTTGCGCCGCTGAATAGGGAATTATATGTAGTTGTGCAATGCCTTTGAATTCTTTAAAAAGCACAATTCGAGTCGCACAGGGAGATCGAACCCGGATCGTATGGGCGATAGATGCGCTATTCACTGCTTCACGGTGACAAAAGTCGTCGATCCCCAAAACATCCAAAAAAAACTCGCTTTTATGCCGGTTTCTCGACTGGTAAAGCTATAAAAAGCAGAGAAAAATAGTCAATTAACAATGGTTTTCTTTATTTCTTTGAGCCAACGACATAAAAACAGTCATTTTTGCGCCTCAACAACTTATAAAAGGAAATTCTCAGCATTTACAAAAACAAACAAACAAACAAACAGCGTTGAAAATAGTTAATTTAACCAATGAGAATGAACTGAACAATTCACACAAATGAACGGATGCTTATGAATATTTTGTGAACAATGAAATAAATGTGAAGTGAAAGGACAGGTTGCCACGCTTTGGATCTCGATCTTTTTCCTTTTCTCTCGATTTTCACAAGAATTCACAAGAATAGCCGGTTTCCTCCTTTCAATTGGAAGATTTGTTTTATTGGAACGACATATAAACATGAAAGGAAATGATGAATTTGGAAAAAAGGTGTAAATCTTTCAAGAGTTCTCTTTCATTTCTCTATTTCAACTGTTTTAAGATCGATTTTGGCTTGTAGGGTAAGTTTTTATATAATTTTCATAAACCCAAAGAAAAGTAGCTACTTTATTAAAGTATCTGAAACTATTAGAAAAGTTTTTTGCAGTCGGGGGAGTCGAACCAGCAACTCCTTATTGGAGCCTCAGATTGGCCTCGCGCGCCTTAGACCACTCGGCCATGGTCACTCGGCCAGGCCAGGGTTTTTCGCTGCCATGGAATCCGGTTTTTCCGCTTTTTACCAAAAAATCACACAACTTCCTAATAAAATTAACGTCGAATTCGAAAGGAGGATCCAAAATTATATGCTCTTGCAAATTTTGAGCTCATTTGGTCCAGCCATTCACGAGAAACAGCAGTCACTTATCATTGAGTCATAAGGTCGTCTATAAGTCAAGTGCCAGTTTAGGTGTCCATTTTGAGCCCTACTCTACAGGGCCATCTATGTGTTAACTCGAACTCGAACCCGTCTATGTGCTAACTCGAACCTTTCGCTTACCGGGCATCGCGCCCCATGTCGCCTCATCGCGCCCCATGTCGCCTCATCGCGCCCCATGTCGCCTCATCGCGCCCCATGTCGCCTCATCGCGCCCCATGTCGCCTCATCGCGCCCCATGTCGCTTCCACCTGTAATTATCGAGTGTAAGTTTTAAAGATTTCATTCTACTGATTCGTGCTTGTGTATAGATAGTGAGGTTTGGGTCGACAAACTGAAGCTTTTGATTGACCCTTGTACACTGGGGGACACTGGTGCCTCCGACTACAATGAGCCGGATGAAGAGGTCGAAACAGATGCGCCACAAATCGTGACGAGACTCGATCAACAGATCAACAGGATCAACAGATCAACAGGATCAACAGATCAACAGGATCAACACGATCAACAGGATCAACACGATCAACAGGATCAACACGATCAACAGGATCAACACGATCAACAGGATCAACACGATCAACAGGATCAACACGATCAACAGGATCAACACGATCAACAGGATCAACACGATCAACAGGATCAACACGATCAACACCATCAACACGATCAACACCATCAACACGATCAACACCATCAACACGATCAACACCATCAACACGATCAACACCATCAACACGATCAACACCATCAACACGATCAACACCATCAACACGATCAACACCATCAACAGGATCAACACCATCAACACGATCAACACCATCAACACGATCAACAGAAAAACAACAATGATGCTCTGGTGCAATTCATTTTCAATTTATCATCTTGTGTTCATAATATTATCATTTCTCAATTAAAACCTGTTTATTTCAAAAAAAATCAATAATGTTTTCTCCAGTGATGATGGTGATGATGAGTCGGATGGAATTGAGGGGCAACATATTGTGGTGTTCCGTAGCCCATGTATCCTTGATGGCCCCAATTGTAGCCGGGCATTCCCCAAGCTGAAAAAGGTTAAGAGATAAGGTTAAGAGATTGAAAGATTATATTGGAAAGTTTTTTTATGACATCACTACAGTAATAGTATTGAATTTGGAAGATATTTGTTGAGCGCTGTGTATCTTTTACTTCTATATAATGATAGGAATTACTCTCATTTTACAGTTTAACTAAAAGTTAACAATTAGAAATTTGCCTTTGTTGCTCTTACCACTTCTGAAGGGAAACCCGGTGAAGTGCAGCTTGTCGACATGAAGATCCCCGTGAACGCCAAGCGCTTGGATTGTCTCGATTGGATAACGGTGTCGGAAAGTGGCGACACAACGACCGTTCACATGAACCTGAAAAAGTGTGATAAAAACTTTAAAGCAATCAATGATCTATCACCAATAAACGAAGCTTTTTGAACGAAACTTGAAAAACTCACATCAAAATGAGAAGCATGCACGTGGACGCAAAGGTGGAACTTCGAATCGTGATGACCGATTGGATTGTGAACGCGTTCCTGGAGATTTTCCATAATTTTAAGAAGCTTTTAAGCTAGAACAGCTAGAACAGCTAGAACTAGAACAGCTAGAACTAGAACAGCTAGAACTAGAATAGCTAGAACTAGAACATCTAGAACTAGAACATCTAGAACTAGAACAGTTAGAACTAGAATAGCTAGAACTAGAACAGCCAGAACTAGAACATCTAGAACTAGAACAGTTAGAACTAGAACAACTAGAACCAGAACATCTAGAACTAGAACAGCTAGGCAATTGAAAAAATAAGCTTATCTTTTAAAGTTTATTCTATTAACCTCGCATTGCCATGATCCGTTCACACTGCTGTTCATGACGAGTTTGTGCTCGTGGTGAGCGAATCGGAAAGACATGTGAAAGACGTGATGAGGGCCGGAAAGGAGTTCAACAACAAAAGTTCTGAAAGCTTTTGTTTCCTTTAGTAGTAGCTTTTATTTGCCTCTTCAATAGTACAAATATTTTCGAGGCTTTTGCAAAAAAATTTGTAAAGAATTATGCATCAACCTAATAACTACAGGGTGCGTCATAAATATTGCAACAAGAGTTCAAAGATCGTTTGTGATGTCAAGAATATGATGTCAAGAATGTGATGTCATGGGCGTGTAAAGCCAATAACAATCAAAATTGGACCTTCATTCAAGATGGAGCTCCCCCTCACACGAAGAAGACGGTTCAGGACTGGTGTGTGGCCAACTTTCCCTCAGTGATCACCAAGGATGAATGGCCTCCAAACTCACCGGATCTCAATGTGATGGACTTTTCCATTTGAGCAATCTTAGAGGATAATGTCTGCTCTTTGACCTTGAAGAAGTCTTTGACCTTGAAGAAGTGTTTGACCTTGAAGAAGTGTTTGACCTTGAAGAAGTCTTTGACCAAAGGATGGAAGGCGACTCCTCAAGATGACATTCGGGCCGCAGTGGAGGCATATCCGAACCGATTAAGGGCTGTTATCAAGGCAAAAGGCGGTCATATCGAATGATCTCTTGTTTCCTTATTTGTTACTGTTAAATAAAGCTATTTCTGTTTAAAAATCTTCTTCCAGTGAAACTTCTTGGTGTGCAATGCCTTGAGTATCTTGTCGCAATAATTATGACGCACCCTGTATATAAAAGTGGTATTGCTAATGAAATTTTCAATGTGAATTTTGATCAATTCTGGCACGTGAGCTATTAAAAGAGCTATAATAATGAAAACATTTCAAACTTGTTTCTGTAAGACTAAATTTGTTCAGCTGATCAGCCCCAAAAGCTTCATCAACTCTCAGCAAACAGTGGCAAAATCTTACTGAATCCGAATCTTACTTGTGATGTCCATGATGAAGACATCCATCCAACTCGATCTTCACTCCGGGCATCACCGGCTCATAGAAGGGCTCAACGAAAGGAACTGGCTAAAAGATTTCCAATAGCTTAGCCAAATTTCAATTTAAACTCACCACATTGTGACGTTGGTGCATTTCAGAAAGTTGAATTTCAAAAAGTGTGAAAACTTTTTGATTTGACACGGGCAATCTGTCTTTTTATTGAGCCCTGATATGAGCATTGGACTCTCTTTTCCCCTTTTTCTCTTTTCTGACAAATTCAAACATTCACCAGCAAGAAAAAGCTGAAAAGAGTTTTTTTTGCGAAAAAAATTTTCTTGATAAGAAAAATCGTTTCGAGAAAGAACGATGCAGATGTGGCCTTGGGCTGAGAAATGAGTCATTTCCGAGAGTTCCGAGAGTTTATCATTACTCATTAATCTAGATAAGATTCCTACTTTTGAATCTAACAGAATTTTGAGTTTCTATTGTTGAAAGCAATCCGAGAAACGCAGCTTAACTGCTTTGTCATTATTTGAAGATCATTACAGCTTTTACTCTCACCTAAATCTAATCTAAATAAATATTAAATGCATTTTATCTATAGTCTAAACTTAGTATCAACAATGAGTGAATAAATGTAAATTAAAGCTTCAAAAATTGTTGTAGAGCATAGATTTTAAGGTGTTCTCCTCATCGACAATGAATCGACCACCATTCAATCAACAAAAATCGCTCCCAATATTGAGGCTTGAATCTGAAAGCTCAAAAAAGGTTTGTTGAAGGAAATAAGCTTAAATCGAAATACATTTTATCAAATATCCCATCAAATATCAAATATCAAATATCTTTTATGTGAATTCAAGAGAAACACATTCAGAATGACGAGGAAAGTCTCGAGAACGAAGATCCGATGATCGACAATGTGATCTCGTGTAAGTTATTGACTTCATTTATCTATTATCTATTCGGGACGATTCGGTCCACCGATGGATGAAATTGTGGTCGACCGACGGATGAAACTGTGGTCCACCGGTAGACAAAATTGTGGTTCACCGATGAGCGAAATTGTGGTCCACTGATAGACGAAATTGTGGTCCACCGGTGGATGAAACTGTGGTCCACCGATGGATGAAATTGTGGTCCACCGACGGATGAAATTGTGGTCCACCGATGGATGAAATTGTGGTCCACCGGTGGATGAAATTGTGGTCCACCGATGGATGAAATTGTGGTCCACCGATGGATGAAATTGTGGTCCACCGATGGATGAAATTGTGGTCCACCGATAGATGAAATTGTGGTCCACCGGACGAAACCCCTCCCGCCCCAGAGACAGACGCTCTACCGACTGCGCTATAGAAGACCTCTATTGCGCGTATCTTAGTCAAACGACCTTTTTGGGATAAAGTCTTATCAAAAAATGATGTTGATATGAAATGCTCATCTAGCTGAGCTCCATCCAATAAAACAAAAATCGTGGAAAACAGACCATTGGAGAAAGAGAAATGCGGCGTTTTGTCTCACGAGCCGATATCAAAAAGAGCCGATATCTTTTTGAGGCAGCAAATCTGATTAGAGATTCGGATTCAGCATGAAATTTTACATATAGGAGGTGTATTTCGGGGCTAATAGCTTTGCCAGCTTTGCTTTGTCCTCGTCCACTGGGGTAGTAACGCAAAAAAACGCCTCGTCGCAAATGTGTTAATGTTATTTTGAAAATTTTGAATATTCAACCTATTGAAATTGAAATTTTGAGCATTTTAAAGTTAATTTTTTGAAAATTCATTCATTTAAACTATTTATTCAAAGCTAAATTTCAATTGTAAAGAAATCTTTTCACTTTTATTCTTCATTCGAGTGTTTGTACAATTGTTTTGCAGTGAATGGAGCGTCAAAGATGAGTGGTTTCGTGGGATTTCTCTTTGCGATGATTGCTTTGAGAAGAGCCGTGTGCACAGCAGATCCAAGCATCAGCGGCGGTTCACCGACTCCCTAAAGTTATTGGTCATTGACAGGTTATTGACATCAACAATACTATTCAGTCATTTCTTTTTTACTTATTAAATTAGCTGATGGATTGTGATTGGAGAAGAATTAGTAAAACGAGATTTGTTAGATTAGAGAAAAATCGGAATGTGCTGAGAGTTGGTTCACACAGTACTGGACAATGGAATCATATATCATATTTGAAAAACGATCAGCGTCACTTTCGCGCGTCTGTAACCTCCGTTGTCTTTGAGTTTAAACTATTTGTATAGCTGTTCAAAACGAATAACGAATTGCAAAACAACGGAGGAAATTTTCACCCTTAATTACCCCTATTACCTATAGTGTTTGACATTTTCTGAGAGCTCTTTTCAAGCGTATCAAGAAATTTTAAATAAATCAGTGTCAGAAAGACATGAGTCTCCTATAGTTTCAATTAAAGTAAGGAATGGCAAAGAAAGATTTCCGGAGAGGGAATTAAGTCCTCGACCTTTTTCCTTTGAATCTGTTTCCTGATAGATTCTCTAACTGAGCTATTCAGTATCTTCTTACCAGAGGAGAAAGAGGAAATACAAGGAAGAAAGGAAGGAAGGAAGGAAGAAAGGAAGGAGGGAAGGAAGGAAGGAAGGAAGAAAGAAAGAAAGAAAGAGAAGATCACGAAAGGTAGGATTATTTTGATGAAAACTATTCTCCCGGGAGTTGCTAAACTTTAAACCACACCTTTGATCGATAGATTTGCTCGGGATATGTTGAGATTCCATCAAGCAGCTTCACTCGAAATTTGTCGGGAACCATTTGCACGGTTGGGATCTTGTACTTATAGGCGGTATCGGTGAGGAGACGACCCTTCTCGTTGTAAACCAACTGTTCACAAGTCATCAGACCGTAGCCCTGAAAGTAATGGATTATCAACGATACTTGTCGTATACAGATTAAGTCGACAAATGTGCCCTTTTACTTAAACTTTGTTATAATTTCATTTTTATAACATTTTCACATTTATATTCCGATTTTTAGCCCAATCGATTGACTATAAGAAAAATTAGGGCCATTAGGAGCTCAGTAAATAAAAGCATCTGGCTCGATGTAGATTTTCTTATGAAATCGTGCTTAAAATCCTTTAGATCTCAAAACTCTTGAACAAACAATGTTTTTTTTTTGCTTTTTCTATGTCATAAACATATGTCAAAATCGTTATATAGAAGCTTGTTTGTTAGCATTTTATTAAATGTTTTGCATTTTATTAAATGGACTCATCGGATCGGGCTAGCCCAATCGGTTGGACGGATCGGATCGGGCTAGCCTGATTGGCTGAACCTATCGGATCGGATCAGATCGGGCTAGCCTGATTGGCTGAACCTATTGGATCGGATCAGATCGGGCTAGCCCAATCGGTTGGACGGATCGGATCGGGCTAGCCTGATTGGCTGAACCTATCGGATCGAATCAGATCGGATCGGATCGGATCGGGCTAGCCCAATCGATTGAACGGATCGGATCGGGCTAGCCTGATTGGCTGAACCTATCGGATCGGATCAGATCGGGCTAGCCCAATCGGTTGGACGGATCGGATCGGGCTAACCCGATTGGCTGATCTATCAGATCGGATTGGGCTAGCCGAACCTATCGGATCGGATCAGATAGGTCCTGATGCGATCCGATGCGATAAAGCTCGATCCAATCCGATAACCATGTCTATCTTGTACTGTCTGTAAAAATGTTCTGACGATAGTTCACCTGCATGAATCCTCCCTCGATTTGACCGATGTCAATAGCCGGGTTGAGACTCTCACCGCAGTCCATCACAATGTCAACAGCAAGCAGCTGAATATTTGTATTATATTGATAAACTTGAAACTTTCAACTCTTTAAACTGCTCTAAAACCCCCACCTTGTGTTCGCCAGTCAACGTATCCAATTCAGCTAACACACAACAAGCTCCCGATGTATAGTAGCAAGGATCGTGTCCGTGTAGACCGTGCTGTTCACGTTCGATACTGAAATCGTTGAATCTTGACTATTCACAGTAATTTTAGAAAACTTACGTAATAAATTCACTGGCTTGAAGCTGGACTTTATTACAATAGGCTTGGAAAACGGCTGTGTTCCAATCTCCATTGGCTTTCTCGAGGAATGGCTTGAGTCCTTCGAGAAGCTTTTCACAGCATTTCTAAATGCATTTTAAACAACTTTACATTACAATGTTGACAATGTTTAAATCAATAACTTTTCAAAAACTCACTTGAACAGCTTTTCCATGAATATCGGCTCCTTGACTTCCGCCAGTCACCGGCGCATTAATCGTTTTGTCACTGCCCACTTCAAGCAAGTTGATTCGCTCGATTGGCAACTAAATCGGATACCAATATTAAATAGATAATTGATTTTTCATTACCCCGAGAGCTCTGCTTGCACATTGTTGAATCTTCACGTTGAGCCCTTGACCCATTTCGACGCCTCCGATCGACACAGACACGGCTCCGTCATAGCAAATTTGCACAAGAGCCGAGCCCTGAACTTTGTTCAAAATAGAATAAAGAAGGAAGGAATTGGCAAAAAGTAGATTTCTGGAGAGGGGATTGAACCCTTGAGCTTTTAGGGCAAATCCTCTAACCAGCAGCTTAACTTGCCAAGAGAAAGACTTGGGAGAACGCCAAAGACTTGGGAGAACAAATTCAAGTTGAGCAAGTGATCTGATCAGGAAAGGTGGAAATTAAGGTTGGATTTTAAAACAAGATCTATCCTTTCTTGTTCAGTTTTTCACCGGCTTTCCGAATTCATTTTTTGTTTTTCCTAAATCGCTTGCAAACGCATTAAATTTGGCTTTAAAGTTTTAGCTAACCCTAAGTTAAAATTATGTTGTCAAGAGAGTCGAACTAGGACCTTGTACTTTGTAACCGAGAGCACTATCTCTCAGCTACAAGGACAGGACGGGTAGACGAGGAATCATTAAAATGAGATAGTTAAAACCTTAAAGCCAAATTCTTTGCGTTTGCAAGCCATTCAGGAAAAACAAAAATGAATTCGGAAAGCCCGTGAAAAACTGAACAAGAAAGGATCTTGTTTTAAGATCTTGTTTTAAAATCCAACCTTAATTCCCACCTTCCCTAGTGAGGAATTCTTTGGTTAACTTTCAAATACTCTACTTGTCAAGCCTATACTCAATACTCACAGCTTCTAGGGGTCCAGCGTGCGGCATTCCGAACCGAGTCGTCGCCATTGCCACTCCACGTTTGATATGAGGCGATGTGCTAAAGGCGATGTGGTTTACTTTTAGATTTCCCACAAAACTTGTTGAATTGCTCGACTTCTCGTTGAACTTTCTCCCATTCGGCCAATCTTTTGCACTCTTGCCAGCACTCGAGCATTCCATCGTTGCGAATCGCCGAACCTGCCCAAGCGATGTCGCCCACTCTCGCGAAGTTCAGCTCTTTCACCTGGATGGTTTTGAAAAAGTAAATAGAAAAAAAAGTATTTAAGTATTCTACTAGTAAATCCTTAACAGTAATGACTCCAGATGAATCCAGATGAATCCAGATTTATCCAGATGACTCCAGATGTATCCAGATGAATCCAGATGTATCCAGATGTATCCAGATGAATCCAGATGACTCCAGATGAATCCAGATGATTCCAGATGATTCCAGATTTATCCAGATGACTCCAGATGACTCCAGATTTATCCAGATGACTCCAGATGACTCCAGATGACTCCAAATGACTCCAGATGAATCCAGATGATTCCAGATGATTCCAGATTTATCTAGATGAATCCAGATGACTCCAGATGATTCCAGATGAATCCAGATTTATCCAGATGACTCCAGATTTATCCAGATGACTCCAGATGACTCCAGATGACTCCAAATGACTCCAGATGAATCCAGATGAATCCAGATGACTCGAGATGAATCCAGATGGCTCCAGATGAATCCAGATGAATCCAGATTTATCCAGATGAATCCAGATGACTCCAGATGAATCCAGATGAAGCCAGATGACTCCAAATGACTCCAGACAGATGAATCTATCCAATGAATCTAATCTAACGACTCCAAATCTAACGACTATAACTGATAATGAATCAAACCTCTTCAAAATTCATTCCCAACTCTTGAGCCACATGATTGACAATAGCGTCCATAATAAAATAGACTTGCGGTTGACCGTAGCCTCTAGACAATAATTGACTTTTTGGGTTGCTTTTAAATATTCTACCTGAACGCGGTGTTCGATTGTTTATTTGTTTTCAACACATGGACTTGCGATCGAAAGATTGGAATCTTGAAGCAAGTTGTCGCCAACGAGCCGATCACGTTTGATACCTGAAATTGCCTTCATTTGGAAATATTGAAGCTGTTGAAGAGTTTGATGTTTAAACGGTTTTCATAAAAAGAAAAAAACCCAAGCTCTTTCCACTCACCCAAACCGAATTGTCGGTCGACCAACCAGCATCGACAAATGAAGTAAAGTAGACAGCCTCAATTTTACCATCTGCCGAAAAGGCGACTCTGAAATGAATTTCTTCAGATTTCTTTTGTTTAACGTCTGATTCTCTATAAGATCCAAAAATTTGATTAAATTTTTTTGGGTTGAGTACTAAGTTTTTCACCGAAATCCATTTTCTGTTTTCAATTGCATAAGTCTACCTCCTCTGCATAAGTCTACCTCCTCTGCATAAGTCTACCTCAAGCTACCAAATGAAATACGGTTTTTTTCATTAGATTTCCCAATCATTTCTCTTGAAAAAGACTTTTAAAAGTTTCTGAAAAGCTTTGTTTTGAAGATTTTTCATTAGAAAGAAGCCGAGTGATCAAAAACGACAAAAATCATGCGAGTTTGATCGTTTCTTCCAATGAAACGTCTCCTACATCGTCTCCTATATCGTCTCCTATATCGTCTCCTACAGCGTCTCCTATATCGTCTTCTACATCGTCTCCTATATCGTCTCCTACATCGTCTCCTACATCATCCCATCCTCACAAACGATAGAATATTCCCCTAGTTCTTGTGTAAATTGTGATTATGTATGTGCGAAATAAATCACCGTTAACCCCGGTATACATTATTATAATTTGATTTTTGATTTGATTTGATTTCATTTCATTTCATTTCATTTGATTCATTTGATTCTCATTTGATTTGACTGATTTGATTCCTTTTTCAAGCGCTAGATCTGCTCTCAAATTCTTACTTGTATTGGCACTTGACTGGATGCCGCTTTCCAGTGATGAGCACATCGTCATTTCTGTGTAAAACGACGCTCACTGGTCTTTTCAACTTATTAGCGGCAACCTAAAAATGCTAGTGAAAGTGCTCGAGAAAAAAAGCCTCTAACCAAAGCTGGATTTCGAGCAAAACCGCACTGCGTAATGGCTTTTCCACCAAATGCACCACCAACACGGCGGATCTGAAATTAAGAGAACCAGTAAGCGAACCAGTAAGCGAACCAGTAAGCGAACCAGTAAGCGAACCAGTAAGCGAACTCGATTAGCTTTTATTGATTTATTGATAAATACGCACCTTGACGGTGAAATTGTTGCTTGGAATACCCAAGAGAACCGAGGCGGATATTTGAGCAATGGCCACTCCTTGACTCGATGTGTGAATGGTGCTAAATGCAACAATTACTCGAACTAAGTAACTTAGGCTTTAAGCGTAACTGAGAACTCAAATCTGAAATCATCTTTGTTCTAATACAAAAATCCAACATTTTTCTACAATAGATTCTTAGGTTTAACAAAAAAAAAACGTTTTTCTGCCTTTTTTATAAAACCTCAAAGTTGATAATCGACTTGCTTGGCTCGGCATTTGTTTTTAGAGCATTTTGGACAAAAATTTTGCTTTTCATAAACGTTTCAACGCTAAATATTCTAAAATTCTGATAGATATCGAAGATTCAAGAACTCTGGAACTTCAGAATCTTCAACCGATCCCCTCGAAGCCGATTGCTCAATCGGCTTCGAGGGGATCGGTTGAAGATTCTGAAATTCCAGAGCTTAAAACGAGACGAGGCCATTCAGTGTCGCTCGCATAGAAAAGAGGTATCAAATTTGATAGTTACCTTTGATTTTTACCTTTGGTTTTTACCTTTGAACCTTTCAACGCTAAATTCAGTTTTATTATGCTATATTTACCTAAAAGTTAAAGATTAACATTTAAGAGAAACTGAAAAATGAAAATTTTCGGCTCGCAGAGTCATCCTTTTGACATGCTGTGAAACAAAGATTCCGAATATAGCCAAATTTTGCCTAATTGATGCCTAATTGCCTAAAAGCCTAAACGTTACGTTCCAATTTGTTTGATAATGTTTTAAAAGTATTGCAAAGACAAAAGCTTTCAAACATCCTCAATCTTTGGCGTTTTCTGGAAATAAAAACCAAAAACAAGAGCCGAGCCAAGCGACTTTTGACTGCCAACTTTTGAGCTTCTATAAAAAAGGTAGAATAGGTTTTTTTCGTTAAACTTAAGAAGTCAGCGTAGAAAAGTATTTAAATTTTCTATTAAAACAAAGCGTGAGATGATTGCATAGCTGAGTGCTGACAATTCACAGAGCTCAGTTCAGCGCTGAACCTTCAAGGATTAGTTGTTTAGTCTAGGCACAACTGTTAACTGTACAGAGAAATTGTCGAATCGTTCCGTGAAATCTCTTCTTGCTTTACGCTTAAAATACTGAGTTTGGGTAATTATTGAACAGTTACGATTAGACTAATCTTTTTCTGATGCAAAGATGCGTCTAGAGCAAGCTATTATCCCACTAAATAAAACAATCAAGTAAAGCTTTACTAAGCTGAAGTTTAGTAAAGCTACAGTTTCGTGAAGCTGCAGTCTAGTAAAGCTACAGTCTAGTAAAGCTACAGTCTAGTAAAGCTGTAGTCTAGTAAAGCTGCAGTCTAGTAAAGCTGTAGTCTAGTAAAGCTACAGTTTCGTAAAGCTGCAGTCTAGTAAAGCTGCAGTAACTCCCTGCTTTCTAAAGGCAATCAGATTACTATAGCTTTCTTGAACACATCTTTTAGAAATCTTTAGAAAGCATCGCTAAGTAAACAAAATCTAACAATTCTTCAGCAATTCTTTAAAAAAACTCTAACAATTCTTTGTCTTCGGTGGGAACAACAACACTTGATTGTGTCTCCATGTAGATATGCTCTTGTCCACCGATGCTCACTTCGCCCGAGATTTGATGTTGGCTACCATTTAGGGCTGATTGAACCTGAACAGTTGCTTGAAAAGTTGTTTTTTCTGGTTTTTTTATTTAAATTAACCTCTTCCTCTTCTTTTCCGAATGTCAGCGGATCACAGATATAGGATTTTGCTTCTTTTGCTTCCTGAAATTCAAGGAGATAAGGAATTATTAGTCATTCTTGCGGCTCAGAGCCAAGAGCAAAGAGCAAGAGCAGCTCAGAGCCAAAAGCAAAGAGCAAGAGCAGCTCAGAGCCAAAAGCAAAGAGCAAGAGCAGCTCAGAGCCAAGAGCAGCTCAGAGCCAAGAGCAAAGAGCAAGAGCAGCTCAGAGCAAATTCAGAACTCAGAGCAGCTAGCCTAACAACGCCTTTGATCAAAGCTTCACCCTTCATACTGGGTAACAGGATAAGAGCCGATTTTACTATGCTAAGAACGTGGCGAACAGGGCCAACTGGCTAAGAGCCTTGTCTCTTAGTCGGGAGATCAAGAATTCAATCCCAAGGCTAGATTCTTTTTTCTCAACTAAATGGGTTTTTTCTTCACTACATTTAGAGCTTAGGGATTGTGATTTGGTATTGTTTGTCTCAAATTATTCGTATAAATAAATGTGTGAATAAATAAGCAATAACTCACGTCAATGGTGAGTATCGCTGGCAGCTTTTTGTACTCGATTTGAACAAGCTTTGCGGCTCTTCTTGCAGTCACCACATCCTCGGCCACAATCATGCCAATGACTTGACCAACTTCTTCAACCTGAAATCGTAGCAATACAACTCAAGTAAAATACGGTATTACAGTAAAATATTGTAGAACATAGTGAAAGTAAAATACAGTAAAACATTAGAAATAAGTCATCGAAGTCAGTCAGTCAAGTCAGTCAGTCAAATCAGTCAGTCGAGTCAGTCAAAGTCATCGAACTTACCTTTCCAGCAGCAAACACTCTTGTGTCATCGTTGACCAAGCAGAGATGTCCTTTGGCTGGAGTGTTTGTACCCTCTTTTGGAATATCCTGAACTTTAGATTTGTAACTGTAATGTTTCTCAATTTCTTTTGTATAAATATTTAACACAAACCCTTTCATCTAAATAGGCAACTACGCCCGCGATCGCCAGCGCATCGGATGGATCGATGGAGAGGACCTCCGCGTGAGCTTCTGTACTCAAAACCGGAGCACCATGCAACAATCCTATAACGAGACGTTAGAGCTCTCATTTTAATTAGCTTTAGCTCTCATTTGAAGTTATTTTAGTCTCATTTTGATTACAAAGCAGAGCAAAATGATGATCAATTACTGGTTTGTTTTTTGAAGTACAGTAAGTAGTACAGTAGATAAACAAAGTACAGTAAATCTTTTCAAGGATTAGGCACACAGTGAACCAGTGAACCAGTGAACTAAATCGTTGAACCAATTGAATACCGTATTCTCTCTAATAGTAGTGCACCCTGAGCGTTTGCTCGAATTGCTCGAAATCTCGAGAACCGCTTATCAGAACCTATCGATGTGAGGTCGGAAAATGTAGCTGACGATGAGATCTAGTGGGGGATTTGAGTGTTGAGCTTCTGTGAGAACCTAGAACCCGTAAAATCGTCACCAACTCGGCTCGCCGGGGTATTAGAGAGAATACGGTATTTGGAAACGTCAAGTTCTTTAGTCGGAAACTTCAAATTCTCCAAAGATCACCTTCGAATTTCAGATCATTCACGTATTTCGCTTCTCCCATGGCATGTCGATCAGCGAATTGGTGAGCCAATGGACGGCCGCAAGCATCCACACCATTATCCACAGTTTGCTGAAAGCATTGAATCAACGAGTGTTCAATAGACTTGCTTATCGATATTATCGATACAAAATGGAAAGCTCATGTTCGACTGTTCAGAACTCGGCTTCTAGAAAAGCTATCACTCTGAAAATTGTTTCATTGGAAAGCCAAGAATCTCAGCTTTTGATTGCGATTTCGAATTTGATTGCTTTTCTTAAAAACTTAAAAAGCTTTTCAATACTTATCAATAGCTTTTTAAGAACTTATCTAGAAGAATTTGCTTTTCAATTCTTATCAATAAGATTTATAAGGTGCTTAGTCATTAAAAGTCGCTATGAATAGTCGCTATCGAAATAGTATCGAAATAGCAATTAAAAGCTGAGATTCTTGGCTTTCCAATAAAACAATTTTTAGAGTGATAGCTTTTCTAGGAGCTGAGATCTGAAGATCTGAAGATCTAAAGGCGAGCTATTACCGTATTTTGTCTAGAAACAAACCTGATAAAGTTGCAGGAACTCAAAATCATCAGTATTAATCTCCAAATTTTTGTATTCATCGCCTTTTGCCAAATGATTGATTGTGTCGAGTAAAAACGATTTCACTAATGACATTCGGAAGTGGAAATCGGGCATTGACGAGTCGAAATTCGTGCCCAAATCATAGCTCCAATCGTCAAAAGTTGAGGAGAGCTCGGGAATTGATCTTAAAGAGTTTTTCTTTGAGGTTTTTTGCTATGCCATCTACTTGTTCTCAAATCGATGTCCAAATGCCTCGAGGAGCTGCGGTTTCTTGTCAACTCCAACAACCAAACGAGCTGATTTGATTTGATCTAAAGTTAGTCATGATAAAACTCTCAAAAACTAAAGTAAGATGATTTTAAAAAGATTACCGAAAAGTAAAGACGATGGAATAGAAACTAACCTCCATCCACTTCCACTCGCATCACTCCGTTCACAATTGTCGAGTCAGCTCCTCGACGTTCTCCCTGTTTGTATGAGAAGTAGCGAACATTGTGCTGAAATATTATTGATTTATATGACTGGGCTAAAGTAGAATGCTATTGTAGAATAGAATGCTATTGTAGAATAGAATTCTCTTGTAGAATAGAATCCTATTGTAGAATAGAATTCTCTTGTAGAATAGAATCCTATTGTAGAATAGAATTCTCTTGTAGAATAGAATCCTATTGTAGAATAGAATCCTATTGTAGAATAGAATGCTATTGTAGAATAGAATTCTCTTGTAGAATAGAATCCTATTGTAGAATAGAATGCTCTTGTAGAATAGAATCCTATTGTAGAATAGAATGCTCTTCTAAAATCCGTCCTTAAGAATATTTTTTACAAATAAGAATTTGAGTAAGTAAGCGAAGAAACCTCCAAATCTTATTTTCGATTATTTTCGATAGCGACCATGCATTTTCTTTGTTACCTTTCTTTATTTATTGATATATAAAAAGGAAATGAAAAGAAACAAAAAACATCCGTTTAGTTGATTTAGTTAGAATGAAAAAATGCCTAAAATCTGCGAGGTGAGGGCTCGAACCCGCAGCTCGCTTTGCAAACGCTTTGTAAACCTCTTATCCGCTAGGCCATCAGCTCATGCTGACGATATGAAGCCTTTTAACAGGTTTTGAAAACTTTTCGCTAGATTTTTAAAACTCTTCTAATATCTCGTGTTTGCGTGACTATGCGCAGCTTTTCAACTTAATTTGAGCAGCGGACATGGCCGAGTGGCGAAGAACAGTAGTTATAGTCATCTATCATAGTCAGTAGGTCAAGGTTTCGATCCTGCTAGCTCGGTTTTTGTCTTATTTTTTCATCTATTGGTTTTTTTCTTCTCTATTGGGCTTAGGGTGCTTGTGTTGTGCTTAGGTTGTGCTTGTGTTGCGCTTAGGTTGTGCTTGTGTTGCGCTTAGGTTGCGCTTAGGTTGCGCTTAGGTTGTGCTTGTGTTGCGCTTAGGTTGCGCTTGGGTTGCGCTTAGGTTGCGCTTAGGTTGTGCTTGTGTTGCGCTTAGGTTGCGCTTGGGTTGCGCTTAGGTTGCGCTTAGGTTGTGCTTGTGTTGCGCTTAGGTTGCGCTTGGGTTGCGCTTAGGTTGCGCTTAGGTTGCGCTTAGGTTGCGCTTAGGTTGTGCTTGTGTTGCGCTTAGGTTGCGCTTAGGTTGTGCTTGTGTTGCGCTTAGGTTGCGCTTAGGTTGTGCTTAGGTTGTGCCTGGGTTGTGCTCGGTATTTTTGTTTATTATGCTATGAGATTAAGTTTTAAACCTAATTCCTTGCAAAGACTTCATCGTTAATTAAAGCTTTGACTTGTTCTGGTCCATTGCCAGTTTTTTCGACTTCTGCAATGATATCTAATTATCTGCAATGATTTCTAATCAATTTAGATGATTATCTTCATTCTATTATTGTTATTCGATCCTGCCCGCTCGGTTTTTGTCTTTTTTTTTTTGATCTATTGGTTTTTTCTTCTCTATCGGGCTTAGGGTGCTTGTGTTGTGCTTAGGTTGTGCTTGTGTATTTTTGTACCACATTATCCTGGTGAATAAATCCGTTTTCTTACCTCATTTGCATCAAATTCAATAGCGGTGATGATCTCCGAGGGTTTCAGAGAAGTTTTCCCGGAACTGTGGAAGAGTTGCTCGACAGTGATCCTTTTTCTTGATTGATCCTCGAGCGAGAAGATGTGAACGTATGAATTTGTGGCCAAAGAAAGTGTGCAGAAGTCGCTTGCAGCAGCCGCTGAAGTGAGAGCACCGGCCCAGCTCTGAAAACGAGTATTTCATCAGAATTTCAGAAATCTAGGCCAGCTGAAGCTAGGCCAGCTGAAGCTAGGCCAGCTGAAGCTAGGCCAGCTGAAGCTAGGCCAGCTGAAGCTAGGCCAGCTGAAGCTAGGCCAGCTGAAGCTAGGCCAGCTGAAGCTAGGCCAGCTGAAGCTAGGCCAGCTGAAGCTAGGCCAGCTGAAGCTAGGTCAGCTTATACTTCAATTTTCAATAAAATAACACTCACCGCTGTGTTCTTCACTTGTTCAGCTGAATATTTTTTGAAGATTTTCAGCAACTCTTTCCCATTTGGATGATTCTCATAGACAAATGCCTGTAATTGTCCAAGGCTCAGCGCTGAGCCGATCACCAATTTCCCGTCAGCCACTTCAGCCTAGAATCTTGCTTGCTGTACGCTGTACGTTTTGTTACTGAATGTTCTATAATTACAAAATCTTCCGTTTTCTATAGAGCCAACCTTTTCCAGTTCCGGAATTCGATGAAGACTGATCCAGGTGACGTCATCTTGTCCAGCGCTGAGGCCAAGAACTGAAGCTAGCATTTGAAAAAAAACTCATTCATTCAACTCACCCAAACGAGAGATCATTCCCGATGAGATGATCTTGTGATCAGGAATCTCTTTCGCGATCTTGACCACCTCGTTTAAAGAAGTTGGTGCATAAACGGTCAAACGATAGCCTTTCAGGAAAAGTGAAGAGACTGGAGATTTGTTTTTGATCTAAATTCACAATTCTGGAATTGCTTTTGAGCTTTAAGGTGTTTAAAGCTAATCTGTTTAAGCTGTTTAAGCTAATCATAAAGTCTCTTGAGTCAAAAAACAAATAGCTGATGAGTTTTAAATTTACACGGGAAGGTCAAGTGAGCAATGTGGCATTTACTATTTATCATTCGACGTAGAATTTTACGCTGATTTCGAATCTGGTTTCACTTTTTGCTATCCGCTACTCTATCAAAGGTTACACGAGTTTAAAGTTTTACAGTTTACAGGTTCTACAAGTTTTTTGCTTTAAAGTCAAAGAAAAGATGAAACGGGAGTCGAACTAGAGAATGTTTGCTTCCTATGCTAACCCACTGCCACTCGTCCTTTTGAAATCCTTTTGAAAGCCACCGGCGCTTTTGAAATCATCTTGAGAAACAAACTTATCATAATTTAAGCTTGAGCTCGAAAATGACTTGTAAAACTGAAACTCGTATAACTTTTGATAGGGTAGTGGATAGCAAAAACTGAAACTAGATTCGGAATCTACGTCGAATGATATATAGCAAATGCCACATTGCCCACTTGACCTTCCCTTGTTAGATGTAAATTTAGATTTTGATGTTTTTTTAAGATAATTTGACTTGTCGTCGTTAAAATGACTCTCCGCCATGACCGCCTTGTTAAGAGGTCGTCATAGCCGGCTGGTCAAACTGCACCCTGGCTGACTGGCGACCGTCATGGCTGACTGGCGACCGTCATGGCTGACTGGCAACCGTCATGGCTGACTGGCGACCGTCATGGCTGACTAAGTGCCTTAGTCTCTTAGTCAGGATTCATTCAGATAGATCAAGGGTTCATTCCCGCTCGCCGGACTTTTTTCCTTTTTCTCCCATATCTTGTTTTTTTCTTCCAGGGTTTTCTTCCGGGTTCGATCCCGCCGGCGCGGTTTTTTGTCTTTTTTTCCATCTATTGGTTTTTTTCTTTTCTATTCGGCTTATAGCGCTTGTGTTGTGCTTAAGTTGTGCTTCTGTATTCGTTGTATCACATTATTCGTTTGAATAAACATATTGTAAACAGCCTACAAGGACCCCGATTCAAAACAAACCGAAAGCTGTGGTGGAAAAATGATCTCTTGAGTCGGATCGTATTTCGGCATCTCGGTGAAGGTGGTGAGTTTTGCGGCCAACGCCGGCTCATCTCCCTCTTTACATGGGCATTTTCCGTCTTTTCCACCGCCACAACAGCCGCCGGGATTATCGGAGAAAGAGTAGAAAGCCTCCATGATTGGACGATAACCGGTACAACGACAGAGATTTCCTGGGAATGGGGTTATTCTTGGAGTTTAACTTTAGATGTTTTGAGCTTTCTACTTATCGTTTCTATTGTACTGCTACTGTACACTAGGCACTTTAAACTATAAACTACAAACTATAAGCTGGGCACCACAAACTACAAAAATGACGAACTGTCACACTACAAACGCCTCTAACTTGCTGCAAATCTGCCGGATTGACATGATCTATAGCTCAAAAAATAGAGAATTTCAAGAGCTTTCGAATGGACTGATGCACATCCAAAGATATCAATGCTAAAGAAAGTTACAGTGGTTTGTAATCCTCACTCGAAACACGTAGTCAAAATCGAGTCAGGCTTAAACCACTGTAACTTTATCTGGCATTGATATCTTTGAGTGTGCTTTAGTCCATTCGAAAGCTCTTGAAATTCTCTATTTTTTGAGCTATAGATCATGTCAATCCGGCAGATTTGCAGCAAGTTAGAGGCGTTTATAGTTTAGGTTTGTAGTTTGTAGTGCCCATGTCTACTTCCAACCATTGACATGGGTAAGCGTTTTAAAGCATGGCTTGACTACCGTGATACCGTGATGACCGTGATGTAGCTAAGTTTGTTTCAATAGCCCAATTGGGACACAGAGATCAGTGTTGCGGTAGCTGAGGCATGCTTTAAAGTCCCGAGTTGGTGTTCGGAAAAGTTTGCAAAATAGATCTGCTTGAATCAATTATAGATTCATATTTAATTTGATTCTTTAGCTATTATCTGGATATATATGTGATATATTTGTAGTGACTATTTATGCGCTAAATTTCATTAAACAATTAAAACTAAATAGTTAAATAAAATAAAATAAGATAAAGTTAAATAGTTAGATTGAAATCTTGATTACCTTTAATAGATTGATTACCTTTAATTGCTTGATTGATCTCTTCCATTGACGGATTTGCTTTGTTGCGCAAAAGAGCATACATGGCCATTGTAAAGCCCGGTGAACAGAAACCACATTGGGTGCCGTGGCCTTTCGCAAGTCGTTCCTAAATGATTGATAAGTATGATTTTCATTGATTTTCATTGATTTTTATTGATTTTTATTGATTTTCTTTGGTTTTCATTGATTTTCATTGATTTTCATTGATTTTCATTGTTTTTCGTTGATTTTCAATGCTTTTCAAGCCTCTAATCAATCACCTGAATTGGATGAATTCGATCTTTCGAGATCCCCTCAACAGTGATCACCGAGCAGCGATCGATCATGTAAATGGGCACGAGACATGCGTTCACTGCTTGGTAGCTGTAAGTACTTTTTTCAAAACTATACTTCCAGCTACTTCATCTAATACAGGCAAAACTATCGTAAAAGCTTGAATAGTAGCCCCCCGTTAAATAGTGATCCCCTAGAGGGCCCCTAGAGGGCCCCTAGAAGGCCCCTAGAGGGTCAGCAAAAAAATAAAGCCCCAGGGGCTACTATTACAGCTTTTTCATAGCTACTATTACAGCTTCGGTATTCACATTCCATTACCCAATCATATACAGGGTTAAAACTCAAATTTTCAAGCCTGCTGACATCCATGCACTTACACGACTTTTCCGTGGTTTTCATCGTGCTTTCCGAGCACTACCGTACATGCTCCACAAGCTCCCTCTTCACAGCCAAGTTTTGTTCCAGTTAAACGCACTGAAATTCTCTCGATTCAATCAAGCAATTGTTTTTCAAATTTTGGCTACTATCTAATACAGGCAAAAGTTAGCATATACTTGTAGATTATTCAGTAAAAATTTCAGATAAAACGCTTGGCTGGCTTTTAAGAAATCACAAATTTAAGAACAGCAAGAACTTATGGAAAAAACATAACTTACAGGTGTTCCGAATATAGTAAGCCAACGTCAACTCGGGATCCGGATTGTTCAACGTGATCGCTTTTCCATTCACAAAGAAGTAAATCGTTGAGATTGTCATATCTGAAGCGATTCGAAGTTTTAGAGAAGTTTGAAAATTTTATTTTATAATAAAAGCAAACAAAAGAACTGTTGTGCAATCAAAAAGCAGAAACCACAAAAAAGCTCGGAAAGAGGCAAAAATGCTCGGGAAGACGCAAAAAAGGCTCGGGAAGACGCAAAAAAGGCTCGGGAAGAGGCAAAAATGACTCGGGAAGAAGCAAAAAGGCTCGGAAAGAGGCAAAAAGGCTCGGGAAGACGCAAAAAAGGCTCGGGAAGAGGCAAAAATGGCTCGGGAAGAAGCAAAAAGGCTCGGGAAGAAGCAAAAAGGCTCGGGAAGAGGCAAAAAAAGGCTCGGGAAGAGGCAAAAAGGCTCGGGAAGAGGCAAAAATGGCTCGGGAAGAAGCAAAAAAGGCTCGGGAAGAGGCAAAAAAAGGCTCGGGAAGAGGCAAAAAGGCTCGGGAAGAGGCAAAAATGGCTCGGGAAGAAGCAAAAAGGCTCGGGAAGAAGCAAAAAGGCTCGGGAAGAGGCAAAAAGGCTCGGGAAGAGGCAAAAAAAGGCTCGGGAAGAGGCAAAAATGGCTCGGGAAGAAGCAAAAAGGCTCGGGAAGAAGCAAAAAGGCTCGGGAAGAGGCAAAAAAAGGCTCGGGAAGAGGCAAAAAGGCTCGGGAAGAGGCAAAAATGGCTCGGGAAGAAGCAAAAAGGCTCGGGAAGAAGCAAAAAGGCTCGGGAAGAGGCAAAAAGGCTCGGGAAGAGGCAAAAAAAGGCTCGGGAAGAGGCAAAAAGGCTCGGGAAGATGCAAAAAAGCTAACAAGCTGTAAGCTTATCTTGTCCCAAAAAGAAAAATAGTTGATAACTCAAAAAGTTGATCTATTATATTCGAAAATAGGTTTCCCACATTTTCAATGATGTTTAATTTTCATTTATCCTTTTTTTTGAATCTTTATAGCTTTCTAAGCCGTAACCTTGGTTACTTCTTTACAAAAAAGTTTTCAGAGCTATTCATCTTTTCAAAGTTGCTAAAACTGGCTAAAATCTCTAACAATTTCAAAAATTGCATAATATGTAGAGATAAATACCGTAAATACTGTAATAGTACTCCACCGCCCTCGTACAGTCGCGTAGTCGCAAACGTTTTTTAGTATTTCATTTTTTTTCAAAGCGCCCGTACTTTCAAAAAATGCGTCTTTGGTATCAAAAAACAGCTGAAATTCAGGGCTATTTTTTGATACCTAAGCGCGCATTGTAGCATAAACCAGTGTCGAGAAAAACTCGTTCAAACCTAGACTACGCAAAACTTCGCACCGTCATTATGGGGCTGGGGTACTATTACAGTATTTATGGTAAGAATTTGCTCTCTAAAGTTTAATTTCTTCTACCTACAAAGCTTCTGCACTTATAATTATGAGTTATCCTGTAGTGAGGAATGCTGTAGCATCTCGTAATGTAGTTTAGTGGAATCAGGGAATGTAGCGTCTTGTAGTGAGTGTTATTGTAGTGTTGTACTGTTGTACTGTTGTACTGTTGTACACTTTAGCAAGAGTACTGTAGTACAGACTAGTAGGATCAACTACTACAACTAAAACTTACTACTAGTACAACTTACTGCTAGTAGCTATTTCTGAAGTGACACAAGTAGCCCTGAATTTCAGCTATTTTTTGATACCTAAGCGCGCATTGTAGCATAAACCAGTGTCGAGAAAAACTCGTTCAAAGCTAGAGCTACGCAACACTCCGCACCGTCATTATGGGGGTGGGGTACTATTACAGTATTTACGGTAAGTAAATAAATTATAAAAAAAGCAAATTCGATTATCAAGTAAATTTAAAATGTAAGTTTTCTCTTGTTTTCTGTTGTTTTCTGTTGAAAATCTTTTGAACTGTAAGTTTTTTTTGGAAAAGAATTCAATTTAATAAGGTACAATGTTCTATTAAAGCAGAAAAATGGTAAGAAAAATGGTATGGTAACCTTGTAAGGTAAGGTTTCCTTGTAAGGTAAACACTTGATAGAGAATGTAAAAGTTTTGATTAAAAACCTCAAAACTTGGTGGCCGACTTTTCCAGTTCACAACAAATATTGGAAAGCAAATTTGATTAGCCTGGGAAAATAGAGAATCGCTCGGAGAAGTGACCGGTACTCGATTTCGGGTAAAAAGCAAAGAAAAAAGTACACAAAAGTTTGAAAGGATGAAAAATTTTCGAGAGTTCTAAGGAATTTCGCATCGAAACACAAAAAATACAACTCAAAATAAGGCCAAAAAAAAGTGAAATGGCTACTTTTTATGATTTCGATTCAAATAGCCTTTTCGGTTTTGTTTGTCAGTTTTTGAATAATTGTTTAAACTCAAAATTTCTGTCTAGATTTGCTAGAAATAGCTTTGTTTATATAGATTGCTTATATAGATTTGCTTTTTTAGAAATTGTCTAGGAGAAATGGTGTTTTTAAAGTTCGCATTTGAATGCGGCACTAAGTGCTATGAGTTTTCAGTGCAAAATTAGCTAGACCGTCCTGCTCTGAGCAGAGCCCGTATGCTACGCTTCGGAAAAGTTTCCCGCAGGAAAATTTTGGTTACACTTTTTTGGGAACTTCCCGCGAGAAAGTTGTCTGACAGGGTTTCCCGCGGGAAAGTTGTCTGGTAGGGTTTCCCGCGGGAAAGTTCCCGGAGTGCAACAGACCTCTGAGCTGGAAATTTCTCAAGGGAACGTTTGCCAGCAAAGTTTCCCACAGGAAAGCTTGCCGGCAAAGTTTCCCACAGGAAAGCTTGCCGGCAAAGTTTTCCGCGGGAAAGCTTGCCGGCAAAGTTTTCCGCGGAAAAGTTCCAGGAGTGTAACAGACCTCTGAGCTGGAAATTTCCCAAGGGAACGTTTGCCAGCAAAGTTTCCCCACAGGAAGCTTGCCGGCAAAGTTTCCCACAGGAAAGCTTGCCGGCAAAGTTTCCCCGCGGGGTTAGCTTGTCCCCTGTACCCCCGGAAAGCTTGCCGGCAAAGTTTCCCGCAGGAAAGTTCCCGGAGCGTAACAGAACTACCGGAAACTCTACCGGAAAACTTTCAGTTTCCCCCTACCGGAAACTTTTTTCATCACGATCTGAATGAATAAATTCAGAATGCTGCCGGAAACTTTTCTCGGATCTGATCTGAATAAATTCTGAATGCTGAAAACTTTTTTCAGGCAGAGTTTCTGGTGGAAACTTTCCCAAAGCACACGGGCTCTGGAGTCCTAGTATAAACGTTCGAGACAAAATCAAGTAAAAAGCCAAAACAGTTAAACTTGATTTACTGGCTCTTATTCTTCAGGAATTTATAGAGAAAGTCCAGCTTAGTTTAAATATTATAAGAACAAAAAAGACGAAAAGAAAAGAAAATAAAAGAAAACAAATATTCTAAACCACATTTTATTTAGGTTTATTCAAAAAAGCTGACCTAAAACTCAAGTTTTGTGCGGATTTGCAGTTGAAATCAAAAACTCACAAGTTTGTAAGTAATAATTAATAAATAAATAACTAATAAAACTAATAACTAATAAATAAATCAACATTAATTCTTCTCGAAAAGTCAACAAAATCAAAAAACAACTTTAGAAATAACTTTTCTAATAGATCAAAAGAAAAAAGGAAAAAGAAATGAAGGAAACTTTTTGTGCTTTGTGTTCGAGTAGGTCATGTTGACCAAAAGGATGACAAAATGGCGGGAAAAGGAAAAAGGAAACGAGATCAATGTTCATTTTTGTGTGAATGTATCGAAAAAGCTATTGAAAAGATTAAAATAACATTTTTTATCAGCCCCAGACTTGCTCTTTGTGGAATTCGTGGGAAAAAAAACACTCTTTCCGGTGTACTAGGTTGGTGCAAATGAAATTTCGTTTTTTTACAAACATTAAAGTCATCCAAAATTTTTTTTGATAACAATTTATTTAAAACAATAAGCACCATTATTATCTATGACATCCCTCCAACGTTGCTACAGATTGCGGATCCCCTTCTCAAAGAACGCTTGATTCTGTGATGCAAAGTAGTTGGTCACCCAATTTTCGACTTCTTTTGCATTCTTAAACTGGCAATTCTCAAGGGAATGTTGCATCGATCTGAAAAGGTGAAAATCGGAGGGTGCTAAGTCTGGACTATACGGCGCATGTGGTAAGACCTTCCATCCTAGCTTCTCTAGTTCCTTACAAGAGGTTTTTGCCGTGTGAGCTGGAGCATTATCACGGAGAAAGCTGATAGTTGAGGGATTTAGGCCTTTTTCACGCAAAATTTCGTCAACCTTCTTGAGTTGTTGAATAAAATAAGATGAATCGACTGTTTTTCCGGGCTCTAATAATTCAAAATGAACAAGTCCATTGATATTCCACCAGCAAGACAACATCACTTTGCGCCCATGATAATCCGGCTTTGGAGTTGGAATTGGCGCTTGACCTTTGCTCAGCCATTGTCTTTTTCGAGAAGTATTATCAAAGTGAATCCACTTCTCATCCATCGTCAAGATATTCTCAAAAAAATGGCTTCTTTTCGACTTCTGGAGCAAGATATGGCTGATCGGAACGCGTGCTCCCAGATTCTCAACACTCAATTGATGTGGAACCCATTGTCCATTACGATTTGTCTTTCCAATTATTTCCAAATGGCGTACAATTGTTGAATGATCACATTGAGATGTTTGGCAAGTTCTCGTGTTGTTTGCATTGGATCAGCTTCAATTAATTGTTCCAATTCATTGTTGTCGATGGCTGTGGCACGATGTCCATGCGATTCGTCTTCAAGGGATTCATTACCATCTCGGAATTGGGCAAACCAGAGCTGGCATGATCTTTCGGTGATAACCTGTTCTCCAAAGGCGGAACAGAGATCACGATGTGAATCAGCAGCGTTTTTGCCCATTTTGAAGTCATAGAGAAGACACGTGCGCAGAACATACTTTTGATCCACCATGATCAAAAGCAAAAATCAATTAAAAAGTGAAAGCTCTGACTTTGAAAAAATGCGAAAATAAAGTAAATATCCAAGAGTACAAATGCACAAAAGAACAT